TATTTTCCCCTTTTTATCCTCCTAACACAACCCGAAACTAAAATTCTTCTGTTTTATTAGTGCACTACCTGAGGACGAGTGGTTTGTGGAAACTGCAAAGTCAGCGATAAGCAAACTACTTATAGGAGCAGAGTCCGAAATTGATGAAGATAACATTGCTCTTCACGATCACATCGTGTTGGATTCAGATGATTCTGTCTCTTCCCTTTCAAGTGTAGATTCTTCCGAGTCTTTTGCTTCTGCAAGTATGGGTGAACTTGACAGCCCGAACCATTTCGACGATTCAGAGGGTTGAAAAATTTTGCCCTCCCATCAAAAGGAAACAAGAACAAAAAAAGTTTTTGTTTGTAGGAAGTATGTTGACAATATTCTCGTAGCGTTATGAAATTTTTATGTAAGTTGTAGTATTGTTTTATGAAAAGCAGGACAGAGACTCACAAGTATCTGTCACTCTCTCTGAGTGTTGTATTTATAGATTTGTTTCTGCTTTTCATGTCTCTAAATACCGTTGTTTGGGTTCCTCCGAGGATAGCTGTAGTATTTGAGAAGGGGAGTGAACGATCAAGGGAGAGATGAAGACAGAAAGGGGATCTAGAGGAGAGACGGTAGAGGGAAGGAGATGGAATGTTTTATGCAAGAATTTTTTATTAATTTAATTATTTTGTAGAATTATTATGTTTTAGTGTAACATGAATTAAATAAGTTGATTAATCTAGGAAAAAGGATTTGGGACATTAGGAGAGCATTTCTGTGAACGATAATATTATATTATGGTAGATTATTGTGTGAAATAATAAAAAATTAAAATAAAATAATTAAAGTCATGAAAATTACTATCTAATAATATTTTTTTTAACTTATAATTTGAAAATCTAATGTTTGCTGTTCAGTCTGAACAGCATAATATTCCTATATTACCCTTGTTTGTACTTGAACAGCATAATATTCCTATATTACCCCTCAATATAAGTATAAACGAGAAAAATCAGAAGGACGAGAAATTGATAGCAAAGCCCCACCCCCGCCACCAAAAGCAGAGAGCAGAGAAACAGAGAGACCAGAGAGAGAAGCAAAAATGGGGAAAACAAGCTACAAGAAGCTAACCGGAAGCCAAAACCTAAGACAGCGGCTCGTACTGGCGGCGCTTGCGTCCACACCGGTTCTTATCGAGGACATTCGCGCAGAGGAGACATGGCCCGGCCTCCGCCCCCACGAGGTCTCCTTCCTCCGCCTCCTCGAGAAGGTCTCCGATGACTGCGTCGTCGAAATCAACGAGACTGGTACTCTTACTAGCTGATTCCAATCACAAGGCACTTGTTTTTTTTCGAATTTAGCGAAAAGTTGAAGTTCCAATTTTGTTTCGGGGTTTAGGGTTTTAGGGTTTTTGAGAATTTGTGTTTGGGTTTGTGGGCAGGTACGAAATTGAAGTTCAAGCCGGGGATAGTGATGGGTGGGAGGAATTTGGTGCACGACTGCGGGCTCAGTCGGGCGATTGGGTATTTCTTGGAGCCATTGATTGTGCTTGGTCTCTTTGCCAAAAAACCGCTTACCATTACGCTTAAAGGTAACCGCTTTCGTTGTTGCGAATCTTCTCCGTGTTTTTGTTTACTTTTGTGTGCAGCTTTTTTATTGGTGTTGTTGAATTAATGCCCCAATCAAGGTTCTGGTTTTGGTCCAAGTAAGGAGCATGAATTTTAGAACATTTTCATGCTCTAACGTCTTGTTTTTCTTTTATGAATGATCTCCTGATACTGCCAGTAATCTAATTTTTCAAGACAATTCCTTGAGGTTTTTGGTACTGTTTTAATATTGAGTCACAGACCAATATGGGAACAGAAAAGCTCAGTTCTGATAATTTTAAATTCTTTCTATTCTGTTTTGTATATTGACTATTTACCTTTCTACTTATGAACAAATGACCTGACCCCAATCAGTAACCGAAAAAGGGTTCCCCTGACCATACTAGTAGATAGAGCACAATAAATCTTTTGTGGGTGTCAATTTGAGCTTTAAGAAGGTTCTGCCATTTTTTGTGAGTCTCATAATTTTTTTTTAGGAATTACAAATGATCCCAAGGACCCATCAGTTGATACGTTCCGGTCCACTACCTTACCCATGTTAAAACACTTTGGAGTTCCCTCAGAAGGGCTAGACCTTAAAATACAGAGTCGTGGATCTGCTCCTCAAGGTGGCGGTGAAGTGTTTTTGTCAATCCCGGTTGTTCAAAGTCTAACTGTGAGTTTCTGAGACTTATGAGATACTATATATGTTTTTCACCAGTTTTTCGGGTTTTGGATTTGTTATTGTTTATGTGTTTTGCTCTACAGGCAGGTAAACTGGACTGATGAGGGGATGGTTAAGAGGATTAGAGGGGTTACGTTCTCAACAAGAGTGTCCACGCAGTTTGAAAATACCATGGTGTATGCCGCGCGTGGAATCTTTAATCTCTTACTCCCAGATGTTCACATATTTACTGACCATAGAAGTGGCGCACAAGCTGGACTGTATGTTCTCATTTTTTACAAAATATCATTATATTTTTTTTATAGAAGATACATTTTAGAAGTTTGAAGTATTTCTTTATTTTGTTTTGAGGTTTGGTTATATTTAAGTGTTAGCAACACTTAGGCTCATGTAGACAATAATGATCTTATGGCAGTTCACCTGGTTATGGAATTTCACTGGTTGCGGAAACAACTTCTGGTTGCTGTATCTCAGCTGATACAGCAATTTCTTACTCTCGAGGGGAAGAAACAGTTGAACTTGAAGATGAGGAGAAGAAAGATCTTATGCCTCCAGAGGATGTTGGTGTGCAAATGGCTAATGTTCTGCTTGGGGAGATTGAGCAGGGTGGAGTGGTAGATTCAACACATCAGGTTTGTGATTTGATGTATTGTACTTCTTCCATACCGGCTGAGTTTGCTTTCACATTTTTATTGATCTTAGATTGTTAGTGCATGCTCATTAATATTCAGCCATATCGTACAAATTTAATCAAATTTACATTGAAGACATTTTCTGTCAATACATGTGTATGGGTCTGTACCGATTATCATGATGTTCATCCTCTCTGTCTCTGATCTTTAATCAAGTTGCTTTTGTTCACAATTTGACATGGAATTCTTTTCTGTAAAGCAGGAAAAGGAAAATCTTGTTTATAGATGGATTTTGTGATGTTGATTCATATAGTATCCCCAAAATACAATTTAATGTTGATTTAAAGGTAGTCCTAAAATCAAATGATGCAAGTATGATGGCTTTTTCCGATAGTCGTACTCTTCTTTCCCGCTTTGATTTATTTCCAGCTTGTTCCATGACAGTGGTAAAAGTACTAAAAGGCATTCTTAAAACAAATAGGGTGCGCCTTATGGCCCTTATAAGAAATGCATACAGTATTCGATTGCAGGTTCCCTTTATGCTCCCTTTTGAATTCTGTCGATCCCTGATAGTTTGCTGTCCTTTTGGCTTGTAGGGCTTGTTGTTTCTTCTCTGTGCACTATGTCCACAGGATGTTTCAAAGGTTCGTGTTGGAAAGCTCTCTCCTTATGGCATAGAAACACTCAGAAACATCAAGGACTTTCTCGGTGTTAAATTTGTTATTAAGCCCGACCCATCCACAGGGACTGTTATACTTAAATGCGTTGGCTCTGGGTTAAGGAACCTATCGAGAAGGATCTCATGATTGTCACAATACGAGGAGTACGTATTTCTAAAGTATTGGTGAATGTTTCTTTGGATGGCAAATAGCAGTAGGGACTCCGGGAGGCATTTCAGGGATCCACACCGTGGAGGAGGAATATAATCTAATGGATTTGCACTAAGAAGTTTTGGAAATTTTTGACCATGTACTCAGATTTTGATGTTGTAAACGAGTTTTTTTTTTCTTTTCGATCACCAATATCTATGCTTGCAGTTCATTGTGATACAAATGGGAACATTTTCTTTTGATGTGCTAATATAAAGGCCTTTTAGCCAAAATAGTCTGGCACAACTCTTCACTTTGGTGCTTGACAATGCAAATTGACAGAAGTGGTCTCCTAGTTTGTTTATCGTAAATTATTTTGGTCATTTCGTGAAAAATTTATCAACATCTTTGTTAATTGAAGGAGTTGGTTTGACAATAATTACCCTTAAAAAGATGGACGCGTGGTTGATTACGTGATAATTTAATGAATATATTGATAGTGAACAAACTCAAGGACGCCTCTCTCAATGGGTTAAGTTTCTTTGATAAACCTGTTTTATTGAACCCACTAAGTTGAGTTTATAGCATCACGCATAATTATAATCCAATGTTTATAGCATTAATCTTAGCTTTGCAGAGTTAAGATGGAGCTAGGATTAAATTAGAATATCACTTGAATAAAAATTATTAGGGTTTAGCTCAAGTCAAGACTCAAGAGCATTTATCTCCGTATTTAAAGTCTTATGTTAAATTCTCCCTCCGTTCCATTATTGCTTACATAACAAAATAAAATATAAAAAAGAAGAATTTCTACTTTTAAAAAAAATGACTTAATATCCCTACATTATATGTCGCTTAGTACTACGGTCTAGTAGTATTCTCTTCACTAGTAAGTGAGAGATCTTAGGTTCGATTCTCGCCAAAGACGAATTTAAACCAAATTATTTGCTAGCCCATTGTAAGACTTAGTCTACTCCCCCATTTTCTTAGTATAAATAATATCGTTTGTTAAAAAAAAAAAAAAAAAAAAAAGACTTACATATATAAAAAGGAAAACTAACAAAAAATCCAAAAAAACTTACCTTTTAATGAAAAGCCCTTTTTAAAAGTATAGTGAATAGTACCAGAGAAAGGTATAAATGTGGTTTTTTTATTAAAAATGAACAGTACCGAAAATGTTTTATTAAACCTCTCTGTATAAAAGCCTAAGATATGGGGTTGCACTGGGCCTAAATATAATCACTTCGGACCAAATGGTAACCCAAGATTGAAAAAGCGCGGGAAAGGTGGCCCATATGTGGCCAAATTATGAAGAAAGCAAAACTAGAGTGAGACTCAAACACTGATACAGAAATTAGGGTTTTTATCTGAACAAATTGGGGGTAAATCGAATGGAGCAGGGCACCCAAGGCAGCATAGTTCTGAGAAGAAATGGAAACGGAGAGTCACAGGGGGAAGAAGAAAGAGTGGTGGACTTGAGTGGTCAGGTGCACCTCCTCCCCTGCTCCATCAAATTCAATGGCCCTTCCTCCGTTTCCCAATACTTCAAACCCAAATCAACTGGTAAAGAATCTTCCCTCTTTTACTTACATACAATTTACACGGCATAATTGAGTAATGGGTTTTTTCTTGGGGCTGAAGGAATCGAATCGGAGGGTTTAAGGACGCAGGAAGCTTATTTCAGAGGAAGGAAGTTGCAAGGAGCCTCGATTCCGATTCCAGATGGGTATTCTGGTATTTCAATGTAGTTCAGTCAGTAAATTCAGTACCTTTTTATTGTCGTGTATGAGTTGTGGTTGCTATGACCTCGATTTCTTCCATCATTTTTCGGCTTATTTAGACCTCGGTGCTTCTGTATTGATGTTTAGAGTTGGGACTTTTATGGTGGCAAGTAAAGACTCTAACTTTGGGTCTGAGTTAGTCAAATAAGCTAACTTGTTTTAAATTGTAAACTTACCCTCTTTGGTAATATTTTCTTTGCAGGATTTGTTCTAGGGAAGAAGAGTCTTGGCAAGAGAAAAGCTTCCGATAGTTCAGATGGGAGCTCAAACTGTTGGGAGATGAATGCGAAATACAAAAGCATCTCATATTGGAATCACGACAGCCTTCCTTCACAGGATGATGCATTCTTGCGTTGTTTTCACTGGCTTTCCGTAGCAAAATCTGTAAGTTTGTTGTCCACAATATGGTGGTTCATGAATCTTTGTTACATTACTCTATGGCCATGTGTGTTGTCTGTTGGTTTCGGTTTCGTGTATTATTGTTTCTTTATCATCTGTCAGTACATAGTTAATCTGGAACAGTTATGATTAGCTTCCAATATTTACGTTCCATGAAGTCCTTGCTTTTTAGGAAACTGAAATCTTCCTGCCACTTTACACCAGATATTTGTTTATGGCTGCAGATGCACAAACCAGCAACACCCGGAGATTTGGTTTCTGCATCAGCTGCATTGGAAAAGATGAACTGATTAAAGAAATGCAGGAAGCATTGTATCTCTTCCCCTGCGTTTTCCTTGTACTAAAAAAGTGAGGAATGTCAAAGTACTTAATAACTCTTTGGTAGAAATTAGCATTTTTGTACTTTGAATGCTTGTAAGGTTGTAACATTAACATATAGACTTGTATTATACTGGCCATAGAATCTAATTTAGAAAAAATACCAATTTGGGAACACTTGGGAGTTCCTTTTTTGGGTCTGAACAAACCTCATTTGAGTTGAGTACCAAGGCTTCATGAACAGCTTTGTTCTTCTGCAGTTTGGGATGCAAGGTCTAAAAAGATCAGAACTTTGCTATTTTTGTAACAGCCCAGCTCGTTTGAGGCTCTATTTTGTCAAACATTTGGGTGACAAATGATAGATTTGAGCACCATCTATAAGGTTAAGTTGTCACCTTACTTAAAGCAAATCTTCACTTGAAGTAAGCTGCCACCTCTTGACAAGCAAACCATAACTAAAGTAACCTTCTAGTTCTACCACCTGCCTAAAGAAAGCTATCTCCTTTTTAGTGACAGCTTTTGCTTCTCTTAGCCCATTTTGCTTATTTTAGAACCAAAACTAAGAGGTTAGAGTTTGTGAGAGATTTGTTGAAGCTTAGGAATTCAGCTGTTTGATTTCATGGTTTCAAGCTTAGTGAAGCTGGAAGAATCTGAGTGTTGATGGTTTTGTTTGCTTTGTTTCTATGTTTCTAAATCTCTGAGCTACATTGATATTGACCTTGGATTCAGTTCAGTTGCCTCTGATATTTGAACCTCGTTTTGATGATTGATTCAGATACCATTGCCTTGTTTCATTGCTCAAAGTGTTTGTAATCGAACATCAAATAGCATCTGAACATGTTGATTCAGTTCGTCCGAATCATAGTGTTTGTGCCTTCTCTGTGACGATCAGTTGGTATAAAGACACATGTGACCACCTGGGAATAAGTTCTCATTGGATTTACCAGTGAGGAATTACATAAGCTATTTGTCTTGTTATTGATTCATTGAGTTCTTGTGTTCATTGTGTTGCCGCTCTTGCATCCAAATCCTTTGATTGTGCATTCGAATCATTGCGCTTCAGATATCGTTCCTTACTAGGCTTTATTTATAGCTCACTCTTTTACCCTTCCCTTTCAGATCAGCTTGGCTGAGAAGTTGACATGTTTTGGATGTATTTGAGGAACTTTTGATGATTTTGGAAGACATTAGATGTTTTAGTAGCTGCTTTGACAACACTTGTGTACATTAAATGTTTTTTAATTGGAACCTTTGTAATATTCATTGAGGTTGTAAGAAATGAATTTACTTATATCTCAGTTTTGCAGACTTGAATTTTTAGTAAGGTTAAGTGTTAAAAAAGAACTCTAAAAAATAAAATTAAAAAACAAACTGCTCGTTTTCTTCCTTCATACCTGCTGTGGTTCTGTAAACGTCAATATTTAACATCTTACTCTGCGAATTTAGAAAAATCATAAGGGAATATGATCCCCTTCTAGGTGGGCGTGTAGATACATCCACAGAGAGTGAAACCCAAATTGCATATTGGATTCCAATTTGACCAAATGGACCTTTATGGAATGTCACTAACGCATGCATGAACTTTCCCGTTACTTTAGTTGATATGCGAAATTGAAAAGGTGTATTTTGTCAACTTGTTTTGGTTTACCAGTTTACAATTGGGATCTAGTGATAGTCCTATCCCATTAACTCAGGATGCGTTTGGCACCTAGATAGTGATATTCGAGGGGATCCATATATCGAAATGCTTTGCGTCACAAAAGTATGAGTTGCAAAATATATAATATACCCTTGGAAAAGAAACCAATGGGCAACTGCAGCCGTAGGGGATTCATGCATCTAACAGTTTCTCTTCTGTCACGATTACGTGTTTGGTGGTAAACTTATATATGATTAGCCTCCCGAAAAGCGAAAAGGCAATGAAAATTAAGAAACAATATATATATTCTTAATATTGATTCTCGTACCTGTAATGGATGCCAGCTTCTTGATGAAGTGGCGGCCACCATTGAAAACTGAGATCAAGTTGATCCAGAAAAGCTCCATAAATGTCGCTTGTCAGTGTGCATGGATTTGGTTGGCAAAGCCAGCTTGCATGGTACGTAGTATGCATGCATGCATGCATGCAAAGCCAAACCTTTTATAAGTGGCTAGTTTCGTCCGTTGAAAAATATTAGTAGTAGAAATCTTAGATCATAATCTATCCATCTACTTAACCTAGAAATTATTAACTTAATTATTTGTGCTTTGGATTTATAGGGTGAAAAGGTTTTCGTTTTAACTCTTCAATTCAAGAAAGAACTTGGGATATAGAATTTGACACATTTAACATTTGTATTACAAAACAAACTTGCTCGTGGTCTAGCTAGTTGTACTTCTGTTCTCGCCCAGCAATTGATATTGTTAAATTTGTTTTATTTATTTATAAAGTTTGGCTTAATTCTAATACAAATTCATATTTTACATAGCAGCCGAAGAAAGTAGGTTGACAAACTTTTAAGAACATATCACACGTTGGAACATTTAATCAATACCGTTTACTAGCAATCCAACTACATATACATATACATATACATATATATACATATACATATACATATACATATATATATATATATATATATATTTAAGGAAAACTAATGAAAATAGCTTGAAAACTTTGAGTTTTAATGATAAGGACAAAATAAAGGGTAAAGTAAATAGTATCATGATTGACTTTTTAATGTAAAATATGGTTTTTCGTTAAAGTGAACAGTACCACAAGCTTTTCGTTAAAACTCTCATATATTTATTCTTCTTTTAAAAAGCTAAGGAATCCCTTCGACAAAAAAAACCTTATAACAAGTCGAAAGCAATCACTTGATTCTCTGTACATAATTCAATTTCATTATTAATTTGTTTTGGTTTCACATTTTCGTTTTGTTTTCTGGAAGCATCAGATTCTCTTCTTCCCAATGGATCAAGGGTTTATATAAAGGAGGTAGACTAGAGGTTCTAAGCATCAAAACATCGGCAAAAATAAAAATAGAGCCAGAAAAAAAGAAGAAAACATAACTGCAGCAGCAGAAGAAAGAAGAAGAAGCAGAAAACCGAGTTAGGTTTCGAAATGTCTCTGAGTACTAAGCCTCATTTCCAAGCAGAGGAAGATGAAATAACAAAACAGGTAAGGCCTCACAAATTTCTTAATTCATTGCTAAATCTTGTTAACATCGGAAAACAATCTTTCGCATATATCTAATCCGTTTCTGTTAAAAAGAGATTAATTGTATTTTCGTGTTTACAGGGTGATAGTTACATCCTCAAACCACGGGGACTTAGCATTGTATGGGGCAATGTTGAACACTACTGGAAATTACCTAAGAAGTAAGGAATAAATTATCTGGAACTACGACAAAATCTTAAATGTAATTGGTTATATACATCAGATAATAGGAAAATGCTAATATCATTTCTCACAAGTATGGGAACTACGCATCTACTCCACTTATGTGTGCTTCTCCCGCGTTCTGAGGTCTGTGTTTGGTAAATGTAATGTTTAGACACAGTTCCAGTTCGTTATTCTGCACTCGTTAACGTTTAAATATTGTTGAAGAATAGGATTCCACATCGGGCATATGACAAAAAATAATATGCAATTTATATATGGGAGTTCCCACTTCTAATATCACCAAGCCCTTTTGTTTCGGCTTCTCCTATGTGAATAATTGGCTACATACTATACATTTTTCAGGCTATCCAAAGGTGACTCTAATGACCCTGCGGAGCTGAAACAGGTTTCTTGGCTAGAAGTAACCGGCTCAGTTAGTTTAATACCTACGAAGACGTACCAAATCAGCTTTGACGTGGAACTGACACCTTGTGCATTTGGTTGGAGAGACATACAAGCTTTCTTGATGGCCAAGGTAGGGAAAAGGGGCAAGTACAAATGGACCAAAGTTAAAGTAGTGCAGGATCCAAATGTAGGCAGATTCACAATTCCTGACAAAACCAGCCCGCCATTGAGAATTGAAGTTCTGCCCGCTAGTGTCGATAACATGCTTCACTTTGGTCTGTATGAAGTCTGGAGTGAAAAATGGAAGGGGGGCTTGAAAATTCATCAAGCAAATGTGACAGAAGTAACTTCGACCTTAGCTTAAATTAATCCGCAGTTCACATGGTATTTTCTATACATACAATACGCGCACGTATTGAAATATTTTCTTCGTTGGGTTTTATATATGTGACTATTTAATAATGAGAACTTACCTTATATACGGTTATTTGAGATCATATACTAGCTAGGATGAAGTATTTGCTATTGTAGCATGTATTTGTATCTCACAGTCACATGAATAAATTATTTCTTATATATTCAGAGCCAGTTACAGAAATACATGTATGTGTATACGTACACCAAGTATATATATGCGCGGTTTTAGCTCCAAATTTTCAATGGATGCACCACACCAGCAACTCAGCAAGAATTGGAGGAAGGGGAACTAAAACACTCAGAACTCAGAAGGCCGAATTTCCATCAAGACAACCAATCCCTGCTCGCGGAATTTAAACATATAGCGGACTCATATATAGGTTACCGGAACTACTGATGCAGGAAGCAGGCCTTGAAGAAAACAAGTTGAAACCATTAATATGCTTTGGAATAACAAAGGTTTTGTATTTTAATTATTTGGGAATTTGTTAAGTTATTTTGAAAGTTGTAAGGGTGTTATAGAAACTTGAGGTCAATTAATTTGTAAACCCTTATAAATATTGTAGTAGAAAGTCTTCAATGGAAGACTTGAATGAATTAAAATTGTATTTGCCTTGTGCATTTGAAGAGAGTGATTTCTCCTTCTAAAATCAAGCATTTGGCTTGGTCGTGTCAGCGAATCCATGATTAGCGACGTGAGCAAGCTCCGTTGCCCTTGGTTGAGCGAATCCCAAGTTATCTATTCCTCTCTTCTCGATACCCTTATTTCCGTCTTGCATCAACTACACTCACAGATAGCTAGATGTGCTGATGCTGCAATTAATTCCCAATTTCTGCGTAACATTATTCGTTAATCAGGACAAACAAAGGACGTTTATCATCTTCTTGGTGCTGAACAAAACTGACTGTTTATATACGACAAATCATTATTATTTAGTTCGTAGAACTAAACAAACTCAATTTGCAACATTTGGAACTCGGGTTCACGAGTTAGCTAGCGTGATTAACCCAAGTTACCCAACCCTTTCGTTCCACTGTGAGTCACTAACTAAACAAGAATTTAGTGACAAGTTTGTTGCAGCATAAGGATGTTGCTGATGAGTGATGAAGATCAAAGCGTTGGAGTACATCACAGTGCAGCTCGAAATTGAAGCAAATGTTCTTTCTTTGAATGTATGAAGGTTATATTCAAATGGAATGAACGGCCTAGATTAGAACAATTAAACGATGTGGAGTTAGTCACGTGTATTAGTGAATGGTGTTTTTAAGTTTACCCATGCGGTGCACGTGATCACCCTTATACGAGTGAACCGTGTGAAATCCTAACGGTATTACTTTGTCCTTTGCTAGCGTCACACTATATGTGTGATCAGGGCCGGCCTTGAGAATTTGGGGGCCCTAGACGAGCCTTCGAAGTGGGGTTCATTCTAAGTGAAATTACAATTATTAATTACAAGAAGCCAGCGCCAATTTCAGGGAACATTTCGACCAAAATTGCATCAAATTACTTTTCTAAATATCCTAATGGTGGCCAATCATCAAAACAATTAGATAGTTTCAGTGATTAATAATTCAAAACATGCATGCATAATATCATAAGTAAATTGAAAAGAAATTACATATTCTTGCTAAGGTTCAAAGCCTCGCCTTAGCAAAAGAAATTAGCTACGAACAATCATAAAACAAAATATTATTGAGAATAAGGATAGAAAACACCTAGAACATAAACTTGAATTGTCAAAAGTTTGTGCGTCTCCTCCTCCCTTCCCCTTTTTTAACCCTAATGGCTAAATATCTTATTTATATACTACAAAATAAAACCCTAAAAGGTCTTAAAATAAAACTAGGAAACATAATAAAATAATAAAACAAAAAATAAAAGGTTTCCTATTTGAACTAAAATTCCAACTTCTCAAAAAATCACACTTTTGACCGACCAAATCAACTTTGATTTGGTCCCAAAAGGTCTCTTTCGAAAGCTGAAGATGTCCCCTACAAATCCTCAGAATGAATCTTCCTCAAAATATGCACCTCCAAAATACCCAATACGTCTAGAAACGTCAATTTGGGAAAGTTGCGCGCTGGGCCTTAATTTCATCACCACGGTCAAACGGCTTGGTAGAAAAATCTGGAATCATCTTGAAAGGCACACGAACATCCTCCAATTGGAATCACTCCAAAATTCATCTGTTTGATCACTTTTTGCTCCAAAGGAAGTCGAATCTCCTACATTAAGAATATAAATCAAAGTATCAAAATTCTACCAAAATAACAAATAAATTAATACTAAGAATAAGGTAAAATATATAGTAAAATATCGACTCATCAATATGCTTCAGAGAATCTTCACAGGTCGAACGGCGATCAACTTCGACAGTTTGCGATGAATTGGGCTCTGAGGCGCATGTTGATTGTGGGCTTCTAGGACCTTTGTAAAGAATGTAACTTGTTAGTTGTCCGTTAAGATTTTACTAATGATTTGTGTATTCCTTCAAGGATGAAGAAGTCATATTTGATAAGTTGTAAATGTGGTGTGTTCCTGTTCATCGTGATATTTTATGTTCCCCCACTCATGATCACTTGCAAAAACAATGATTACGTTATAAACGAGAATAATATATCAAATGCGATGCCAGATACCTGATTTGAGAATGAAGTTTTTTCCTGCATAATGGAATACATACATGATAAACAAACAAAAATTTTACCACATGGAATAAAGGCTTTTCCGAAAGTACTTCCCAATCTAATGCTTTCCCACATGGTCAAAATTTCAAAGTTTCCGAGCCATTCCTTGCTAATCATGCTTGATATCAACATTCTGAGAGACCGAAACCAAAGAATAAAAGGTTCGCAAGGGATCTTCTTGGGTTTCAAGCAACAACTCCAGTCCTCACTCGTAGAAACGACTAGTTTAGCCCTGTCTTGCTGTCTATATAAAGTAAAAACATCACTGAATTGAAGAACTGCATGAGGAGATGGGGACCAGTTGGTCACAAGATGAGGCCTCACACTCAGAGTCTCAGACTCTCAGCCTAGTGAGCAACCGACTAACAATACGGTAGAAGCGGAGAAAGGAGCAGAAGCAAAGCCGACTGTCTCTAAACCCACAGCAGTAGAGAGAACAGCTGCTGATCATCAGGCCAAACTCCCGGTGGATAGCAACCAGGAAGCCGCGGCAGAGAAAGAAGTTAAGGAAGTAGAGAAAACGACAGCAGCACAGCAAGTGAGGCGGCGGCAGCAGCAGCAGCTCCCACATAACTATGAAGCCATAGTGAAAGATCCTTACCAAGTCAGCTCCAAATGATCAAAACTTAAGCAACTTATCGAGCAGCGAGGTGGGAAATGGAAGAAAGGGCTTGTGATCGTCAAGGACCTCGTCATTCGTCCTTGCAGAGTACTCAACAACTTCGCTGATGAGCACAGAAATAACGTTCTGGGCCCTTTTATTAAAGCAGAAATGAGAGAAGTGCATATGTAAGAAATGATCGGAACAGAATAATAAAACAATGATACACTCTTAACAACTCCCCAAACTTCACATTTTTCTTTCTTACTTCTTCAGTAAAGCGAGTAAAATGATTTCACATAGGATCGACGACAAAGATGGTCCATGATCATTAACGACGATTATTTCTGAATTAGAACAATTAAAACCCATTCCGGCTACTTGTCTATATATCATTTGCGCTTGACATGTAATTTACAGTGAACGTCCCTAATGAAACAATGAGAGACCACCTTCCTGTTGAAGGTAAGTTCTCAGCACGACTGGCAAAAACAAAGAAAAACGAACTGACAGGTGCATCAAACGTCTGTTGTGTAATCTTCCGGCTTGTACCACAATGAGAAATCGATTCCTTTGCCCTTCAATTTCTCTGTTGCAGGTGCAATCCTCTCCAAAAGCTGCATTGTACAATAAATAAATTCTTGAATTATTTCTTTAAAACCACTAGTGCATTTAATACGATTACAATCTACGACGTCTTTCAAAGGTAAATAAAGCACTAGTCAGAGCTTTGTTACAGTTACAGTAACCATCTGCTCTACTCACTCCCCCCGACCTACCCTAACCCAAAAATTGGAGGACAAAAAAGGAAAAGGGAAAGGAAAACTTATCTCTTCATGAGATTAGTGGTAGTAACGGAAAGGCAATGAAAATTAAGATCATGCATTATATAAACGTGGTTAGATCTCAACACATAAGGTTTTGTAAACAGATTATGGATAAAGAGGAAGATAAGACTAACCTTGCCATGCAGCACACCATTGGATACCAAGACAGATCTATCAAATACAGAAAATTTTCCACCATCCATGCACGTAACCTTTCCTCCGGCCTCTTCAACTATCTGCTCAAAATTGCATTACATATTCTATGAATAATTGAAATCACACATCTGGTCACCAAAATATCTGCTGAGGGAAAGGGGGACTAAATCTTCATGCATCAGTTTAAGCATCTTGTCACATGAGATTTAGATTGCCCTACTCCTACACGACCCTTCCAAATACTTGCCATAAAAATGTAAAGGATATGTAAATGACAGAAAGTTTACTATTTGTATATTCATCATGAATAAACTATTCATTGACATATTATTTCGTTACGTGTTTGATTCCTGATGAAAACTTTGAGTATTCACAACTTTTTCCAAGTATTAAGTACAACCAGACAATTAAATAGAGAACATATTATGCTAGTTAAATAGGACCAAATTGCTGTAGAATTATGCTAGTTAAATCGGCCCAAATTGCTAGAAAAACAATAAAACTAAAATTAAGAGATAAAAAAGAAAATGCTACGGCAACTATTATGTTTTAACAAAATGAAAACATGAAGGTGTTCTGTTGAGTGTGCTATAACAATGAATACTTCCACATAAGCATTCATTTGACCGCTTGTGAATTAAAATTATTATGCTGTAAACCCTGACAGATGCATGTGTGAGAAAACACAATACCAAAACACCAGCTGCCATATCCCATGGCTTTAGTCGATATTCCCAGTATGCTTCTACAATCCCAAGAGCTACATGGCACATGTCTACTGCAGCTGCACCGAGCCTTCTAACACCCTGAACATTACAATATGGGGATAAAAGCAAGGCGAACAAAGAGTTAAACTCATAGAGAGAGAGAGAGAGAGAGAGAGAGAGAGAGAGAGAGAGAGAGAGAGAACTAGGAAGTTAATTAATCCTAAAGCTCAAATAAAAAGAGCTTGATACTGAAAAAAAGGTGAATATATACCCTGCTGATGTCGGTAAACTCTTTAAATAACTCTATGTTGGTGATCCATGCATCATCATGTTCATAACCAAATCCAGTAACAAGAAGTGATCGTCCCACCTGAAGTATGGAAAAGTATGAGCCTCAATGAAATATGAAATGGTTTCACCTTTACAGAGTACGCCTTGACACATGAGATAGCTCATCATTCTCTCTTACAAATTTCAACACTTTCTTCCTTCTAATAAAATCAATAACTGACCTCATCTGTTTGGCTCACGTGAATTTTTTGGCCATTACAAAATGCTCCCCCACCTATCATAAGTTCATAACACAGGTCATCAATTGAATCTCCACAGTATACTTAGAAAATCAAATAAAGCAGAGACAACTATGTAGACAGAACTTTCATACCAGCACTAGCAGAAAAAATGCGAGTATTCCAACACATAGGCCCCCCAACGAACTCTACCTGAAAATATAACAGAAAACCAACATGTTATTTCCCCACTATGTCAATCATAGACATTATAGTATAACATAATTCTTGGTCCACAAAACAGTTTCATCTTTTGAGAATAATGATAAATCAATAACATTTGTCATGGTAACAGAGTAAGAGATCCTGAGTTCAAATCATCGCATTGCAACCTTGCAAAATAACACTTTTGACTCTAATAGTGAGGCCCATATGTGAAGGGGGAGTACTAGAAAATAAAATAGACATCTTAACACATTATGCAATCATAAAAGCAACATGTCAAATAAAATCTACTATATGCGATCAGTACCACGGCAGCAGCGGCAGGTTTTCCTCGAAATAGAACTCCCACAGAAACTGCAAAACTCGGATAACCATGTGCAAAATTTGTTGTTCCGTCTACAAAGATATCAGATGTTAGATAAGACAAAACTAAAGAATTTTCAAGTTACTGCTACTATTAGTTAAATAACGGGTATCTGGACATAACCAGCTACCACCCTAAAATCTCTTTCCAATTTTATTTTTGCCATTAGAAAGTCCAACTCTACACTTTCACTCATATGAACTTTTGGCTATCTATATAAACATAAGGTTTACAGCTACTATTAGTTACGGAAAAAGTAACGGTCAAAAGTATTGAAGCAAGAATTATGAAGGCTGCAACAACCTGGTAACTGATTTATAGTAAATCATGTTCCGAAACACCAATATCAGAAACCATATCATACTTGATAGAGTCTTGAAAACCCCAATATGCACAAGCATAGCTATACTGCACCTTAGAACATACTAACCTAAAGGATCAATGCACCACATATAATCAGATGATGTATCTCCAGTTATTCCACCCTCCTCTCCAAGAATAAGGTGATCTTTGAAGTTCTTTCTCACAACTTCTAAAATTGCTGCTTCACTCTTTTTATCTGTCCTGCAAATTGTTGTCATATCACACGAAAATTCCTGATAAGTGAATTTCCCTTCATGATTAGTGAATCTTACTTGTAAGTAAAAGGTTCAACCTTAAACTTCTACTCTATATTCTAAGGTGTTATCATTACAAGTCAATTAAGGATGAAAGCATACGCTGCTAGTGAAAGCATGTCGATTTAGTTCTTACTCAGTGACTAAGTCTGTTAATCCTTTATAGGTAATATTTCGAGGCTTATTAACAGCCTCCATCACAACCTGAAAAAAAGACGCAAATACCATAAGCTATAAGAAGTTCATGATGATTCAATAATGGACAAAACGGCAAGTACTACAGATAACGCGTGAATCAACATACTTTCTAGCAACAAAACAATACTATCATATATCACAACGGCAACGTTTCTCCTTTAATACCGCTTTTTAGTGGAAATAATTTAACTACGTGCAGTTGCTAACTCCTATCAGGATGAAATTTAACAACTTTCATTCCCTAAACATATATTTAACGGGCAAAAGGCGTTATCGAAGTAAATTAACACACTCTCAGAGCAAACAAAGGCATTATCAAAAGGCAACAATGCTTCCAAAATCAAATTAACATACCCAACAGGATTAAAAACAATAAAATTCAAGCATTCCCCAGAAGAAACAAATGCAAATTCCATCTGGGTTCTTCTTCAAATTACAGAATTTACAAAATGCTGGCACATTCAAAGAATCACAAAAGCAGAGTGCTAAAGAGAAAACCTCAGCGCCAGTCTTAGCAGCCTTCTCTACCACTCCAACGAGCTGACCAATTGGAATTGGTCCAGTTGAATTGGCGCCAACTTTCACATACAGCTCCTGGTTCGGAATTTCAGACAACACAGCCTTTGTGCAGAGACTTCTCGCCGGTTTGGCAATTGAAAGTCCAAATCTTTGAAACCCATATTGCAATTTTTGCTTTGAGTTCAGTAAAAGTGAGTGGTTAGGTCGATTGGGCGGTAAAATTGATCTGGGTATTTGAGATATTCTCAGAGGAACGTTTGGGGAGAAAACCAGGGACCTGCCCATTTGAACTGAATGAAGATTAAGGTGTTGCTAATTTTCCTCAGTATTAACTTGCAGTGTGTTTCTGCCACGAAGTTTGCTCAAGGGTATCAGGTGATGAAGGTGGAAGCATCTTTTTGTATTCCACACACTTCGGACACTTGTTCTCTCCTCCCCCCTTCCCACCCCCCACCCCAAAAAAAAAAAAAAAAAAAAAAAAACCTCTCTAATGTTTTCACTCACTGTAAATTTGGCTGCTGCTTTTTGTTTTCTTTCTTTGCTACCATCGGTTTCTATCATTTATTGTGCGTTTACGTAACGGTAATGAAAATATAAGGAATTGAATTGATGAGGAATTGAATTGATGAGGAGTTGGAATGAGGAGAAGTCAGAATCGGATTCCTGTTGAAGCTGTTTACTTAAATGTTCTGAAATCAGAATAGAATTCTATAAAGCTGTTTACTAATTCAGCAGAATTGGAATAAACTAGTATGATTACTAAAATGCCCTTGTCCCAAATCAAATATTTTATATACTTTAATGGGTTTGTAAATAATAGTTTTGGAAATAAAAAAAAAGTAAGTGAGGACATAAAATGAACAAAAATGTCATTCCGATTGCCCAAACAATCAGGAATTGGATTACCACCTATATCTAGGGAATCCAATTCCACCAACACAAGGAATTAAATTCCAAAATTTGTGTGGGCCCCACTGTTTTTTTTTATTCCTCTATGTTTAGTAAACACCGAAGTACTCCGCAATCGGAATTCAATTCCACATTCTCATTTTGATTATGGATACGTAAACACGTCCTTAATTGAGCAGATAGCAATTTTAACCATTATATAATATATATACACACACACACACACACATTTCCAAAGAAGCTAACATGTTTGCTAATGACTTAGTTAATTTGGCATGTAACTACATCCAATTTTGTATTTAGATATGGTGTTAAGTTGGGAGATTTAATTGATGTTACATATCAGGGAAGTTCTATTTTGTGCTCTAGTATTATGACAAACATCGAAGTAATAGATGGTTGGATGTGTATACGGAAAACTCCTTTTTACCAATGCTTATCTAAGAAGTAAATTTATACCAAACGGAAGGGTTGGGGCTTATACTCCAACAGGTATTTCCATGGCTAGAAAGGCCTCTTCAATCCAGCCGTACCTTACCCACGATCGACCCGGGGCTTTTGAGCGAGCAAGCCATTTCTCGGCAAACTACCGTTCTTTCATAACCGGGGTCTTTATCCGCCTAATTGTAATCTGATGGACTTCTTCACTTCTACTTCGTAGCCTCGATCGAAAGTTTTAGGAGTAAGGTATATGTAAGGATTTAAACAGACTGTTCTTGTTGTCCATCTAGAAGAGCAAGTTTTTTAAGTGAAGCGCGGATGGGGTGGGGTGCGATCGGAAGCCTCCTTTTCTTTCTAGTCCCGTCTAACACCAAGTTTTCGGTCGGGATTAATAATGAAGCCTTAGTGAGAGCAGTTGTCGAACTGACTTCAATTTAATACTATTTAAGTTAAAGGAAAACTAACGAAAAGTAAAAAAAAACTTCTCCTTTAATGAAAAACTCTTTTTAAAGGTATAATAAATAGTACCAGGGAAATGTATAAATGTGATTTTTCATTAAAAGTGAACGATACTGGAAGTGTTTTGTTAAAACTCTAAGTTAATCCTTGGCATATGCCAAGCATGGGCCTACTGATCCTAGCTATTCTACTCCCGCATAATGCGGTGCTACAAACGAGCCCCTATTGTGTTTATTCTCTCCATCATCTTCAAGACTTGACAGTCTGAACTTGGAAATATTCTCTCCATCGTCTTCAAGACTTCACAGTTTGAACTTGGAAATAAAGCAGAGAAGCTTCTCCTTTGACTTTGAAAGCATCATCAACTGCCCAACAAACAAACAAGCAGACAGGAAGGAGGAGCAGGTCAGTATGCCACGTGTCAAACACTGATAGGTCTGCATGAGTTTTATGTAAGAGAGAGAGAGGGAGAAATGGAGGCGATTGATTATTTCAGAATTTCAGATTTCTGCTACAAATGCAACGAAACTTCATATATTCACGCGTTTGGGGCCGCCAAGTCTGAAAAATTATATTGAAGGACTATACAATTATATATACATAAAACCATATGCTGTAAGCTAATTAATCCTGAAAAGATTTTTCATTGAGCAGAGATACAAATACTCTCTCTCAAAACCCTAAATCCGCATTCTCCTAATTAAATTCATTTTTTCTGTAAAAATCTGAAGCATGAATCACTACAACCATCATCATCAGGCTCCAGGTAAAAATCTTCCATACATAATTACGAAATTGTTTTTAAGTGGTTGTAGTAATATTAATTAGCACTTGTGATTATCTTCAACAAAATAATAATTTGATTTGACGTACCGAATTGCAGCGGTATATCCACCACCCCCCACCTCATACCCTCCGCCGCCTGCCGGCGCATACCAAGGGTATCCGCCTCCGTCGTATCCACCACCACCACAAGTTCATCAAGGATACAATACTAGTACTCAAGGCGGTCCATATGTTGTTGCACCACCAGTTGCTTACCCTATGAAAAGTGAGGGTCCTGGAGCTGGATACCCCCAACAGCCAGCTCCCTATCAGCAGCAGCAACAGCCACCTCCCTATCAGCAGCAGCAACAGCCACCTCCCTATCAGCAGCAGCAGCCAGCTCCCTATCAGAAGCAGCAGCCACCAAACTCTCATCGCCATCACAGAGGTGGTGGATTTTGGGCCGGATGGTAATTAAACATTCTCTCTTAATATATCCTCCTACTTAATTAATTAATTTCTGTAAAATATGTAATCAAAATCAACTAACTATTTCTTATGTCTATATATTGCAGTTGTTCTGCCATGTTTTGCTGCTGCCTCTGTGATTTATGCTGCTTGCCCTGCTCAGTCTTTTAATCTTTTGGAAGATCATCTGTTGTTTGTAACTATAAATTTGATTTGTATCTGGTTCGTGCGTGCACCGACCGGCCGGTCTCTCAAATCTCAATAATCTTTCCTTAATTCTGCCTATGCGAGCTGGTTTCCATACAGTGAAGATTCATTCTCCTACGTGTAAAGTTTTGTAATATATAATGGTACACGATTTTTGACACACATTTTGTGTACTTCGTAATATAATTCAACGATTTCAACCGCAATTTTTATAGATTTCTAGCACACTTAACTTTATTCAGTTTGAAGTTCTTGATTCATTCTATGCATAGAGAAATCCATTAAGCAAGTTTTCCATTCGATTCACAATAGTTCAATTAGAATGCGCAATTTATTTATTGGTCGTCGAATTGTATGACCTTGAAAGAAGATGATCCAAGTGCTTCACCATTCTCGTCTAAATAAGATAACATCGAAATTTTAGGACAAATCATTTCATCGTTATCAATGTATTAAAAGAGTGAGGCGTGGGCGAGGCGTCCAAGGGATAGCCTAGCCTAGGCGTTAGGTGTGAGGCGAAGCCTCACGAGACCTAAATTTTTTAATATATACACTGAGCATACACATATATTATATTAAAAAAAAAGATTATTAATCAATAATCACCTTGAGCACACATATATTATAAATACATATACACACATATATATACATATTATATATATATATATATATATATATAAATAGATGATGAAAAGCACAATGAGCACACATATAACAATGCACGTAGACGGCACACACATCCTTTATATAAAAATAAAAATCAGAAAACAAGGTAGAGAGATGATAGTGCAAGGAAGAGGTATGAGGTAGTTACAACCCTACCCAAAATTTGGGTTTGGAAGTATTAAAAAAAAAAAAAAAAAAAAAAAAATCTCCTAAGGTGTGCCTAGACAGCTTCGGCGACACTTTCCGCCCACTCCCTCAAAACAAAGGCGTCTACCCTCAAACCCAACCTCACAGGGCGCCTACGCGCGCCCTGAGGCGAGCCTTTTAAAACATTGATCGTTAAATAGTAACTACTTAAACCCGCATACAAGACCCTATCGCACGTGAACAATAAACGGAGGGAGAAGAAATAAGGCACAAAAGTGTCATTTGATATCAGTTCGAACAACTCATTGTATAATCTGCCAATGAGTTGAAGATCTTGTTATATATAAAAAGGCACCTGCATATCCAACATTCACGAAAGAATGCAGCTCTGTTTTCACGAGCAGCTCCTATTTACACGTTACAATCACACAAGCGAATCCGAGCACATGAATGGATATATACAGAAGAGCATTGTTTCATGAAATACAACCGAGGATCCGTTACTTATATTCAGGCATCGACTGACACACTTATAGCATTCAGCTCCACATGCTGCTTTCCCTCGCTATGAGGGTGAACAGTAAGAGTTGCGCAGGCCTCAGCTCCCACTTCAGAAACGGATATGGAACTCACCACAGGCTTTTCATCAGCAGCGGCTGAAGGAGAATTCTTGTGATCAGCGTCTTGACATTCTGAGATGATTTCCCACTCCTCTTTTAGAGAAGTTACTTCTAGACCTTTCTCTTTGTGCTTCTCCATTTCAAACGCAGTGGGTAGAATCACATAATCATTTACAGGGTTGTAGTACGGGTCATGGTCTGCCTTCAACCAGTGCTTCAGTATCCGGAATACATGGTGCTCACAGAGAATTCCTCGGTGCTCACCAGGGACTCCAACCCTTGCGACAGCATTAAGCCCATCTGCCTGGAATTCACAAAAGATGGAAGCTTATTAATATTGGCAATTCATATGACCAAAACAGATTTGAATGAGTGAAAATCCAGTTAAAAGTATGGACAGATGAGTTGACGAACCTTAGCTGATTCCACTGGGACTGTCCCATCACCATCAACGCATACATAATTAGGCTGATCAAATCCAAAATTGGGTTAGGTTTTATAATTGTAATCTCCTTGAAAAATCATACAAACACATCATAACATCACCATGAAAAGATAGTAACCTGGACATATCGTAGCTGTTGTAGATCTGTGACAGGTGTTTGTTCATTTCCATAGCTGCAGAGTAGTGACTTAGATATTAAATTAAGCGATGACAAAAGAAATTCATATCTGGAAGCGTTTTATTATGACTTGAAACTTTTATACTAGAATTATCTAAAATAGCAGGCAAGCAGCAGAAAGATTTTAAAACATTTCATGGAGGTACTACCAAACACTATGAGGTGTGTCGAGATTCATCCCATATATATTGTAGAATTTAACTTGAGGAGGAAGTTTCGCCTGAGATATAATCTTGCGTGTTTCATTAGCCCATTTCAAGATTTCCATATTAAATGGTAGGGGAATATCTTGACCGTTATAATTGACCTGAAATTATGAAAACATGCAGTGTAAGTTTAAATAAGCGATACAAGTGTATAATAAAAGGAAAACCAATTTATAAACATATTATTATAACTTTAAAGAGAAGAACAAAAAAATATCTAGAGGAGAGAAGAGACCAAGCAACCTCATCTCATAGGAGAGAAGGGATCATGCAAGTAAACTCTTTAACTTTAAATTACATTTCAAAGGAACACCAAATAATATATGGTTGCGCATACCGTATTATTTGCAAGAGCTTCCTTAAAAATCTGTACGCTCTCTACCAGGGGGTAAGACTCTAGCATAATTTGAGATTTCCCATCACCATCAGGCCTACCTCTCCACATTTCCAGAAGCGGAGGATGTTCCCATTGAAAATCAAGACAAGCCATCAACTCATATATTGATGGGCACTCAATAAGCTGGAACATTGCAACAATCCTCAGTAAGAAAAAAAAAATGGATGCAAAGAAGAAATAACTGTTTGTGAAATGCACAGATTTAGAATATAATACATGCGTGTGTCTATGCACCAATAAGGATCTTCCTTTAACAATCCAACTAATTCACGAAGAAATTTTTTGTCAAATGCTATACTATCAAATACGTCTACCATCTTATGTTCTCTTTTGTTTTAGTTTAAAAATATTCTCTTCTAACCAATAAGTTTCTTCACCCCATAAAAAGATGACGATTTTGTTTCAAATTCCACAAATGGGGTGTAACTGCTTAAGGTCTAGAATGTTAACTGCCCGTATTAATGGACTCATACCAGTTGGTGCATGCTCCATTTTGATATAAAAAAATTCTGTTCCCACCCATCAACAAATGACATTCCATTTAAAAAGGTAGATGTAATATATCCAGGTGCACCTGCACAACAATGAAAAGCCACAAATTAGCTTTTGTTTGATCTTTCACCTGAATAGTTAAAGCTTTAGAAATGAATCTAGGAGCAGCACAAAAACTGAGATTATACAAGCTATTAGAGGTTGACTTCAAACTAAACTTCAGTTTACATTTTGTTATACACTTCAAAGTGAGATTATACAAGCTATTAGAGGTTGACTTCAAACTAAACTTCAGTTTACATTTTGTTATACAAATAATAATTGTACATGAACACTTACCCTGGAATGGTGCAGCAACTGCAATCCACTTGTTCACATATTTCTCAAAAACCTGTGAAACACATGGCATCAAATTATAGGATATAATTTGTAAGACACAAATTAGACCATATTATCAAGCTGCATTTGATTCAATGAAGGAAAAGGAGGAGGAGGAGAGGAGGGGGGGGGGGGGGGGAGTGGGGTGGTGGGTGGGTGGGTGGGTGGGTGGGGGGTGGCCTTAGCAAAAGAAGAAAAAGAACAAGAATATTATTACTCAAGAGGTAAGAGTGAACGCCTTACATCACTATGCAAGCACATGAAACATTTCACAAGAAGGCCCCCCATAGAATGAGTTATGATGGTTATCTTTTTCCCTCCAGAAGCCTCATACACTGCCTCTAATTTTGCAGCTAAGCGATCCAATGTCTCCTGCAGCCTAAACGAAAACAAAGCATAACCCTATTGAAAACCTTGACCATGGTGAATACCTAAACAAAGCAAATCCTTCACAATTCTATGTTGAGTTGGAGAAAGGGCGAAAACCAATTATAAACTTCAAATAAATCTTTTGAACTTTTAAGTGGCATTGAAATAAAGCAGATACCTGTTGCTTTGGCGGAAATCATATCCAAACCCAAAAAGTGTTTTCCCCTCTTGGAAACCCCACTTGGTCAATTCAACAATCATGTCATGGAAATAATATACACATTCCTGTCCAAAGACCTGCATGGGACAAACCGTCAATAGAATTTTATCATTGGTTCAACCTCATTACTTCCAGAAAACCACTCAAGAAATCATGAGATAAGATTTCCTATAACAAGTTAAATTATTATTATAAGTTTTCACCAAAATAACATTGCTATATCAGTTTGGCATGTAATGAATCATCCACTTGTAAGTTATAAGTTTATAACAAATAAATAGCCAAAAACAACCGCTTGCACAATTTATAGAAAGCAAATAAAAGGGTTATTTGAGAGTTCTAGATTGTAGTTGGGAAGAAAAGAAGTTTCAATTGGTGTGGGAATTAGCAAGGAAAGAAGCAATAGGTGCCAATATACAATTTCAGTTTGGCATGCATGAAAAGAACCATAAAAAATCAAATTTATCTTCCAAAGTAATTATGTTATACATGTGCAATGTAAGTTTAGAACACACAACATAGTAACATACCATGTCAGGGTCCAAGGCGTCAATTGCCTGAAGTCCATATCTACCTTCAGGGACCACTATCCTTGCTTTTGGATCTATAGACTCAGTTTTACCTGTTTAACAAATAGATCATTATTTCTATTGCTCCATAGAAGCACCGACATATTTATACCAAATGCATTCATATAGTTCGAATCGGGAAACCGTTTTTCCTATATGCATGTGAGGGAGTGAAGGATATTGACCAATGCATTAGAAAGCTTTCCAAACAATTCAAGCTAGAGCTGATATGTTTTCGTGCCCTGCCATACACCATTGCAGGTAGGGCACATGTGCCACACACATGAATTGAAGTAACAAACTCTTAAAAGTTAACCAGCAAATTGTCGGAGCTGGCTTTCAAATTATGTATATGTAAATCGAAAAAAGACGATACTTTGTTATCACATTTGTATCATGAAGCATTCCCTTCATATGAAAAAGTTGTATGTTACACAATTTCAGCTTCAGAAACAAAATTGAACTATGGCAACTCGTATACACAAGAAACTTCATCGTGCAATTAGAACCAGCAGAATTTTCTCTATCTAAATTCTACAATTTTCTCAGCAACCAAACACAAAGCAGCCAAATTTTCTTCCCAGGAATTTCAAACTTATCAACGAAATTACCTGTTGAAGGATCGAAACGAGACCAAAGCTTGGTCCGAAACGTGTAGTCCGCACCAAGGATCCGAACCCAGACGCGCTCCTCCGCACCACTCTCTTCATCGACGGCGTTCAAGACCGAACCGGCGATACCCGGAACCAGCAGAACCGGGTCGAGATGAGGGTCCACGTAGGGCTGGGGCTTCTTGATCAGCTTCAACCAGAGCTCCACCGACTTCAAAATATCCTCCAACAGCATCGCCATTTCGCCCCCAATCAAAACCCTCAATTACGAATTTCGACTTGAACAGATGTCGAATGTTGCAAATGGAGCCTGAAATTTGAAGGAATTTGATGGAGGTTGGGGAAATTAGGGCTCCTGAGCCGTGAAGGAAGGTATGCAATTCCACGTTAAGTATGGGAGACGATGACGAGATATAGAGAGATGCAACTCGCAAAACGACAAATCGGCGGAATTATTGGACGGGTTCTATATACGGTCACACGGCGTCTAAGGTTATATTTTTATATCACGTCAGTCACTATCATTTGAAAAATTTACAAAACCCAAGAAAATAAAGAGGAAAATTCTTCGTATACCACAATCATCATTTAATTAACTAATTTTTCTTAATTATTAGTTTATTAAATAATAAACTAAATTTAAAAAGTTGATTAATTCAAATAAAGTGGCTGTCCACATCAAATATCATCTAAGATGGTATGAAAATGTGGTATAAAAATATAGTATGAATATCATTAATTTGGGTCTTGACAACTTTTTTTCTTTTTTGAACAAACGATATTACGTACAATAAGGGATGTGCTTAAATTTATAATTTTAGATTAAAATTACCAATCAACCTTGGCGAAAAGAAGTTATCTAAAACGTATATGTTATGAAGTCATGGCAGTAAATGTAGTCTTGAGAATGAGAAGTGATGAGTAGGAGAATGTTAAGTTCATAACTTTTCAATTTTCAATGATACAAAAAAAAAAAAAAAATTCGCCCATGAAAAATGATACAACAAAGTATGCAGTTTTTTAAATCAAAATTACTATTATTCACATATTATGTACTTTTGAAGTTTAATACATATATAATTCACGTATTTGCGAGTAACACCACATTCATGATTTTGGTATTTTCTTGTTAAAATTTACAAATAATATTGACACATTAGTTTTTATTTTGAAGAAATTTATCATTTTGGTGGTGTAAACCCTTTTTCCTCTATGAAGTCCAACAACAAATAAAAAGATGGAAATTTCATCAAATTAAAAAAAAAAAAAAAAAAAAAAAGAGTTGTTAATAGGAAAGGAGAAAACCAAAAACCAAAAAATAAAGACTAGGATTCTCTTCCCTCCTTTTCCATCTCATTCCCTCCCATTCTCTTACATTCTCTATTTTGTCTTTCTTTTTTTATATAAATTAATATAAAATGTTGATGTGGTTTAACCGTGACCGTTCAAATAAGAGGGGAATAAGGGAAGGGAAAAAATAGGGGAGAAAATCCTACTCCAAAAAATAGTGAGCATATGTGTTATTTTGCATTTGGGCCTGCAAGTTTCAAGCACATTTTCACTGTGTCGTCCACAGAGAGAGAGAGAGAGAGAGAGAGAGATGCAGCTTACATCTCTGATATCTACTAGCAGTAATGGTACTTGTTGCTTACCTAAGGTAATATCTCTCTCCCTCTCTTTTAATTGGCAGATGAAAGTTTCTGAAGTTTGAGAAAGTTGAGTGTGTGTTCTCAAAGGGTGCAGTGAAGCAAGGAGGACACAACCCAATTTCCCAAAAGCAAGAAGAATGATAGTTTCTCAAGAGCTTGGCTCCCCCTCTAATGGCTGTAGTTCTGACCTTATCTCCACTCTCCATCACTCCTGGTAATTACTAGTGTTAAGTAACCAACCACACACTTGTCACAAATTCCTCAGGGTTTATCCTCCGGTGGATAGTTTAATCATTCCTCCTGCATTTCCCTCGAATTTCCAACACTGCCATTGTTTTTTATGCAGTGATGCTTTGGCGTTGGGCATGTTTGCAAACTTTGTTTATGATGTTTTGGCTCTGCTGCTCTACAGGTAATAGGTTAATCAGTTAAAACCATGTAGTTCTGTGCTTACTGATAGCAGTTGTAGTCGGTTTAGTTTCGAATCTAGATAGTCTCTATGTGGTCGAGGGGGGATTCGAACACAATACCCCGTTGCAGGTAAAAGGATATAGATTGACACAAATATGTTATCAAATTTGGTTGTTGTTGTTGCTGTTGTGCAGTCTCACATGCACGAGCCGTAGATGTTCAAAAAGGCGCTGCATTATTTCGCAAAACTTGCATTGGATGCCACGCTGCAGGTGGTAACATAATACAACCAGTAACAGATCTCACATGTTTATTGCTCAAAATATTTGTTTGTTCTTATCCCGTTGTTTCCTCTTCTTTCTAGGGCGCAACACTCTTTACTAAAGATCTACAAAGGTAATGGGGCGCAACTTCCATCAATTGTTTAGTTAGAAACATGCATCTTAACAAGGCAAACAGATAACAATTGAAAACCCTTCGGTAATGGAATTGAATGATCGATATTGGAGAATTTTTTAGTACGATGTTGCTTTCAGCCATGTATGTGCTATGTAATTTAGTCCTTCCATCACGATTAAGGAAGAAGAAACAAGGCCATGTTTTCATAATTTGGACCGGTTTCAGCTTTTTGAACTACTTGATATTGAATGAGTGTAATAGTATGCCATGATTTTAGTTGCCATTAAATTAACTAAATGATAAAAAGAACTAGAACATTTTTTTCTGTAGAAACGGAATTGACACAGAAGAGGAGATATACCGTGTTACTTACTTTGACAAGGGAAGAATGCCGGTAAGTTTTTCCAATTCTAATTTGAAAACTTTTCCTTCAAACCATCCTGTTTGCATCCAATTGAAGACAGTGTATGTTGTGGGAATTTTTAGGGTTTTGTTGAGAAATGCGCACCGAGGGGCCAGTGCACGTTTGAAGCCCGTTTGCAGGATGAAGAGATAAAGATTTTGGCTAAGTTTGTGAAGTTACAGGCTGATCAAAACTGGCCGAACATTGTAATTGCTGACTCAAGTTTTCGGTAAAGTGCTTCTTTGTTTATTTGCATATATTCAATCGGCACGTTAATTCTGGGCATGAATCTATGTTGGTTTATGATTCAGTGTAGCTAGTGTTCTTACACTCTTGGTTTCAGCCTGCAATCCTCCTACGCCATGTTCACTTCTCAAAAATGAACACTGATCGACGTAATGCTGGATTACATGCAAGGAAGATAATATTCCTGTTTCTGCCCTTAGGCCTTTTCTGTAATTTCCTGCACGTTCATGTAGCTTGGTTTCATATATTCATATTTCTTAAGATTGTAATTTGTACACCTTATACTTCAATGTTTCATGATCTTAATGGAAATTCTACTGATATGTAGATCGAGCACTGTTTTGATTCAGTCCTGTAATGACACGTGTGAAGTCTGAGGAGTGAGGAGAGACATTGATTTTACGATCTCACTCGATCACTACATACTTAGAACATGTATGTAGTGAATGCATAAAGAAGATCATCTGTTGGAACCTCTGGTTCCAATTAGACCATGGAAAAGGTTGCAAGAGCAGCTTCTGCTTCCAACATCTTCCATTGAAGTAGAAGATGATTTAATTTGGGCACTAGCTCATGGAAAACGACTTCCTTACACCTGGAGTACTGCGCTAGCGGTATCTAAGCCTGCTCATGCCTTGACTTGAGATGTCATGTTGGATATTTAAGTCAATCGCGGGTTGCTTATATGGGTTGGGCTAAGAGGATTAGCAAGAATTTCTGTTGGGGTGGGCTTATGATTTTGTTCCTGAGGGAGAGGACAGGCAAAGAGAGGGCAAATGACTGGGTTGGGTTTTGTCTTTTGTAGTCATATGCACATGAAGTGGTTGGTTTGAGTTGTGGGAGGATAATCCAACCCCAATTCAACTTTTGTGCCCCAATTTTATGCAAGATGGAAAAAGTCCCAACCCTAGAAGACAAAATATTTATCAAGAAAACAATAACCACGCATCATTGTTATTTTCTTACACATTTTTTTTGTTTTGTTTTTAGATATGGATTAAATAAATCAAATAGAAACAACAAATAAAATTAAATAAAGATGTGTAGGGAGAGAATGTGGTTATCATTTTCCAAGTAAAATTAAATAAAGATGTGTAGGGAGAGAATGTGGTTATCATTTTCCAATTTATCAATCTCGACTCATTATTATCTCACATATCACCTGAAGAGTAGACAAGAGGATAAGGAACGTGTTAAGTTTTCTCCTGTAAGAGATGAGGACTTCAATGCAACTACAACTTATCTTGTCAATAATACAATAATATGTGTAAATTTCTCTTTACATAATATTGTATTATTAACAAAAATATATCGTGATAATAGCGTACTCGTGCCATATATATTGTACTCATAAGAGCTACTAACATGAAAATAACTGGGACTTGTCAAGGTTGAGAAATGCTAATTCAATAAGAAGGAAAACCTCAAAAGTAATATTATAAATAAATAAATGTGAAAAAGAAGGAAGCTAATTGAAAATGTTGGCTATGTAGCTAGTGGAATGAATGAATGAGAATATGGAATGTGCCCAACTAAGTTAAAGTTTGCAGCAGCAACATGCATATGGTTTTGACACGAGTCCTAGATGACGGTACAACTAAATAATTCATATCATGTCACTTTGATTTATGCACTTAATAATAATTACCTCATACATTGGTATGAACTAAACGTGTTTGCCATGGTGGTTATACTCACAAAACCATCATTATCTAATATCATTACGAAGTGAATTAGTAATTGAAGACGAATTCCAGCTTGTATACTTCACGGCACATCACGGGTTCGATTGTGAACTACACAACGGTGGCCAGAAGAAGACTTAATGCCTTTGTAAGTCTTCTTAACTTCGAAAATGATGAACTATTGTGACGAGTTCACTAGCCTGATCTCTTAAAAAAAAAATTAATGATATGTTTAGCATAGCAAACATGGAAACATGATCACAATATACATGCCCCCCACCACGTGGAATGTCACCAACTAATGGCCATGTCTGATTAATTTAACCAAACAAAATTAAATTAATAAAACTTTGAGTGTGATCAAAAGACTCTTATGCAAGAAAGCAAATTACTAGATAGTTCCGGCTATCTAAAATAATAGCTCTCAGTTTAGTGAGACTTTTCTTTTTAATGTTAGAAAAGATCATCACACATCGCTATTTGACTCTTAATTATCACTTTCTGATACAATCATAACGGTATAAGCAGTCATGAACTGTTAAGTGAGAAAACTAGAATTTGTAGAAGAAAAATGCTAAGGATACTCTATCAAAGTGGGACTCTTCATAGACTTTCTATCATCTCATATTTAACGGTAATTTTCTTACAAACATTATAAAATATTATACCAAAAATATAAGGTGGCAGAAAGTCATTTTTACTAAACTTAATAATTTTGTAAACAAAGAAAAATAGATGTTCAGTACATGATACAAGATGATTAGATTGTCTTCGCTGTGATGGTTTTATGGTGGGAAAGTGACTTAAAATGGTCCTCTGCACATTATTTTTACGACAATTAGTAGTATGTTAGACTGAAGATTATTAATTTAGTAGTTGCACCAGCTCAAATTAAGAAGAAAAAAAAAAGTAAGGTTGAAAAACTAATTACCAAGTTCCAAGGGGATTAAGCAAAAAAAAAAAATGAGGTACTTAAATCTCAAAGTCCCGTTTTCCTAGACTTTATAGTTCAAAAAAATGGTGGTCACTTACGTTTGGTTTTAATTTAACAATAGAAGAAAAAGTATAACAACAAAAGTTAAATGATTACCTACCGTTGAATTAAGATTAAGTGGTGAGTGATCACCATTTCTCTTGGACCATGAAGTCTAACAGAACAACACTATCAATCTCAAGAGCTTTGAGATTTTAATTAAGTTCTAATTCCTACATATATGGGGTAGTTAAGCTCTCCCTCTCACTAATCAATCTTGGTTATATAAGTAATGAGAAATGGTAAGGAGATTTTTTTAAAGTGGAACTCTTCATGAAATATCTTTCATTTTACAGTTTAACGTTAGTTCTCATACCAACATTATAAAACATTGTGTCCAAAACATGACACGACAGAAAGTTTGGAGAGTCTCACTTTTGAGAGAGTCTTCTTATATAAAATAGCAATGACTGATCAAGTCATAGAGGTCACTGTAATGCAGTTAACAAGTCACGCTAACCCTCTTTTAGTTGTTGTTACTTTTTAATACAAGAAATTAAGGGAGAAAGCTTTCCATGAATGATGCTCAGCGGATAAGACAACCTATAGATCCATTTTTCAATGAATATTAAGTGGGACAGAAATGTCAATGGGAAGATAAACGAAAGAAGTATAATATTGGTTGCACAACCTGTCATATGTGAGGCGTGTCATCCCCAATATTTGTTCAACATATGGTGCCACTTAATGTCCTTGGCACGGAAAGTTTATGGTCTACATTCTAAATTTCAACTAGGAAAAAATGAAATTTAATTATAAGATGAAGTATAACTCCTCGTTTATGCCATTTCACCTTCAATTTCATGATCTTTTGTTTTCTCCGAACTTTAAAATCTATAAGTGATTTGAAGGACTATACTGTGAGGTAGTTAAGGAATTTTGTTCGTTTTTATGTGTAGTTAGATTGTTGGAGACCAAGTTCCGGTCCATAAATCGGTTAATTGTTCTAGAGGTTCTTCATGGAGATGCGATAAATTCTATAACAGTACAGGGCAGTCAAGGTTTAGAGTTATGGGTTAATTTAAAATTTTAATTACTCTGTGCATGACTATGAATTATACTTAAATTTAGTAATGTAGTTGCATTAAATGAAGTCTTTGACATACTTCAAAGGTTTATCTAGTTTTCTATGGAAAACTTAAAAGAGGACACATTAGATAAAAGGCTTGAGGATGGAAGGCAAGATTTAATGGGAAAACATGCAATATCTTAAGTATATGACAACCAAAGAAATGGGTCTTCTTATATACCAATTTGTGAAGCATTCTCACCTTCAAGTATCATATAAGATCAGTTATCACAAAAGTTTGATTAGCTAGAGATAATGTAATCTACAAAATGATTCTCCACCACTCTTAATTAACAAATATGAGAGAGAAACTTATAATAATATAGAAGAGGGAACAAACAAAACCCATCTGCATCTGCATGCAACAACTACTCCGTCATGAAATGAGTAGGATTTTCTCTCACTTTTTTCATTTTATAAAGAAGTCAATATAAGATATTAACGTGGTTTAATTGTGACCGTTCAAATATGAAGAAATTGAAAAGAAGGAAAATTTGATGGGGAGAGAATCATTCTCTGCATGAAAATGGCGACATAATTTGCAAATAAAACCCTAATATTGGAATATATTGCTTTGGAAACTTTAACGAAAAACTCTCGTTACTGTTCACTTTAACCAAAAACCACATTTTTATACTAAAAAGTCAATCCAGATACTATTCACTTTACCTTTTATTTTGTCATTATCGTTAAAACTCAAAAATTTTAAATCATTTTCATTAATTTTCCTTTTATATTTTACAACCACCGCTAGACCTACCTTAATGATTTTTTTGGGGTCTGAACCTTAATGAAATGAAGCATAAATACCAACTTGGAGCCTAAATTTATAAACCCTAATTAAAAAGATGTGGTCCTATCTCCCCATTAGGACTTGTCTGTCTGCATGTCATTGTAGTTGTCGACCAAGGACAGAGGAAACACCCAAAGCTAAAGACAAAAGGAGGGCACTCTATCGATCAACTGATTCCACCAACCAGACCAATTCCTTCCCATCATCTAACTTTATATATAGAACACAAGATATTCAAGTTGTATTGTTGTAGGGACCAAGCGGCCGCTATAGTCACATGCATGGTCACACATTTCCTCTTACTAGCTAGCTGCTAAAACTGATGGAGTAATTAATCCCATTAGTTATTTAAGTCTTAATTATTGTGATGGCCAATTGGAGGAGTTGAAAGAAAGGACCGGGATTTCAGAACAATGCTAAATTTGCTACTCAGAAAAAAAAAAAATTAAGCATTTAGACGTCACATGAATTGAAATAACTATATGCATGCAATGCGTTAGTTGAAATAAGAGGATATTCTTAGTTAAACCTTCTCGTTCTATCTATTTTGTTCTTCTTCTCATCTTGCAACGTTGCACAATGATCAATGTCATCTTTTTTGTGATTCATCCCTTAAAGATTAACTCTACAAAAGTCAATCATATAAAAAATCGTTGAAATGTTCGATCAAAGTTGTAAAAAAATTCAATTTTAACTAAATAACATGGTTATTTTATATATTTATTGGATTACTTATTAGATAACTAAACGATTTCATATTTGGTTGATTTCTAGGAAAGTTGATCTTTAAGTCGATCAAAAAAATAGACGGTTCAGATCATTGTGTGACATTACAAATTATGATGGAGACTGAGAAAATTCAAATGAAAATGTTAATTTGCTAGCATTCTTTGAATTTCATTTCTTGTCTGCCTTTTCTTCTCACTCAAATTTGCGATTTAGGAATTGTAATAGTCTAAACAAACAATTTAGCCTTATAATATATTTATCTAAATCCTTATATTTGTTATCCCACGTTCAAATGGCCTAGAAAGGGTTTCTCGGACATACTACAAATTTGGTAGTGATTATAAATCTATTGAGAAGAGTAAGGTCTATTAATTGTCACCATCCTAGTAGTTATGGATGGAGAAACCCTACACCATGCTTTGAGTAAAAGACACGCCTATAATGTAACAAATCAAGCATGCTTGCTCGTTAACTTTTCAGACCAATATAGAAAAGCACGCTGATCAACTTTTCAAGCTTCTCTTTTTGCTCAAATAGACTGAGAGGAGTAATGTTAAGTCGATTAAATTTGTGAACTAAATTTATAAATTAAATAATATGTCACCAATAAGAAATAAATACGTTAATTAATATTTAAGTAATAATTTAATTATTAACTTTCATGTTATTTAGTTTACATATTCAGTCTTCCTAATGTTACCCATATGATATTATAACATCTATAACTGGCTCCCTGCAGCTGCATTACACACACACACACACGATATATGGTTCGTTTATGAAGTAGTTTTAAATGATTGAAAATGTTTTTAGAGAACATAGTTTTGAATTTTAAAAACACTTGAAATGTTTTGTTAGAAAACACTTAAAGTGCTTTCTTACAAAAAACACTTAAAATTCTTTTCAAGATTAACATGCATTTTTATTGAAGATTGATTTCACAAATATTTTTTTTCTAAAAAGCATTTTCAGACATTAAAAAACATTTCTCAATCGAGCCAGAGACTGTAGAGTCATCATGAATAATTAGGTCACTACAGAAATACTTCTTTCCTTTAGAATTTGGTAATTCAAGTCAACTGATTGGAAAAATTTGATCCCTTAACTAGAAAAATTAATATTGCCCCATAGGTCACAAGTTTTGACTACACAATGAATCAATTTTAAAAAATCATCTGGGAAAACAAGAAAAGTATAAGAAGATAGGGTTTTAATATTACTCTTGCGAACAGAACGTGGTGGTCCCCTTTGGATTTGGATCCTCTTCTAAGCTCAAGTTGTGATCTTCTTGATCAAGGAGTGTGAGCCGTTAAATGAAAATCTAACGACTATAATGATTATAACTTTAAAGAGATTTTTCAGTTTGTAGCCGTTGGATTTTCATCCAACAACTCATACTCCTTGATCAGAAGGATCCTCACTTTGGACTCAGGAGAGGATCCAAATCCGTCCCTTTTTTCGTCTTTAAATCTATTCATTATAGGGATTTGTATAGACATGTTATGTAAACAAGTGTCGAGAGAGAGAGAGAGAGAGAGAGAGAGAGAGAGAGAGGGGTCAGGTCAATAGTTGTAAGGAGTTCCAAAAAACCTAAGAATTAAATACTCTACATCGTAATGCTACAGTAAATATACATTGGAAGCGAGACTCATAAAGTACATGTACATTGTTATCATAATGTCTTGTGTCAATAATAAAATGTTATGTGTAAAATTCTTTCTACATGTTATGGTTTTATTAGCACCAAATGTTACAATGAGGACATGATCAACGTACTTGGCATGCCATGTATGTTGCTATAAAGGATGAAAGATGTAGAGAAAGGGTGATGGCTAGAGGTGCATAAAGCTGTCATGTATATAGAGATGAGCGAAGCTAGCTAGCTAGAATAAATCTAGAGAGAGAGAAAGCTAGGAGGATTGTCACGAGGCTTCTCCCTCTTTCTCTTACCTAGAACATGCATTCCTCGTGTGTGCCTCTTTCAGCAAATCTCTCTATATCTAGGCTAAGCTGAGAGTGAAATTCTGCTTCAGCTGTTTCCTTAAAAAGTGCTTATTTTCCAACGAAGGCCAAACCTTTATGCAGCTTCTTGGTTCATCTTTCTTCCCTTGTCTGGTTTGTTGGTTTGAGAGCTTGAAGCTGCCAGCATGATCTGATATACATAACCATAGCTATCATATATACATAGTATTCCCCATATATATGTATTTTAGATCTCATTTAATTATATATAGATCTTGATTATTTCATGTTTTTGGAGAAAAGGGTTTTTATTTTTTAGTCAATTAACCAAGAGAGTAATTGGCATATATCCTGCTGATTACAATTTTTTTCCTTTTCTGTTTCAATTAAAAATTATACAGATTGATCAGAAGCCTGTTTTTGGAAAACAAAATCTTGCATTCATATTTTCAATTAACTAGATATAATATATATATATATGTATATATAGGTTGTTCAACCAGATCATCTTGCAGCTTCAATCACTCACTCATCAACAATAGAAAATGTTTCTGAACTAAGAATACAAAAGGTCTCTTGTGGAGAAGTGATTACTGTCATCCCAAGGACAGCTTTGTTTGAGGTATTTATTTCTCCCTCCCTCCCTCTTTCTGTGTGTTATGCATGCTGCATGTTGTCTTGGAGGCTGCCAATATAATAACTCGTAGAATTAGCATATGCAAAACAAATTTTATATTTTAAGACATAAAAGTTAAGCAAGGAATTTTAAGTGTATACTGAATTTGTTTTTTTGGTGGGGGGTAATCTGAATGTACTTTCATCAGATCAGATCACCAACTGGTGTTCTTCAAGAAAACTAATATATAAAAGATGCATGCTTTTGGTCATTTAATTAGAGCACCAGTATAGTTCATCTTATTTTCAAATGGATCACTAATTAATCTGATATTGGAACTACAATATTCAAATTTTACCATTCATTAGTTAGATTTTGTGATTGTAATGTAGAGATTATATAGAAGTACCTAATCCCATAAGCCAGATATACAATTACAAAAATCCAATTGCTCATTTTTCTTTCATATAAGCGAGGGAATGAACTCAAGATCTCAGATGTAAGGTGAATGTTCTTAACCAACTGAGTTACAAATTTTTTGTATTTTTTTTTTTTTTTTTTCATTTTGTGTTTTGAGTAAGTTTATGCATGTAGAATACACACACACACATATATATTGTGTTTATCTGTCAACGGAAGAATAGTAGCAGACTAATGATTATATGTTTTTTAATTTGTTCATTTTGTGTTTGAGTTAGTGACAAAAGTCAGTACTTGTTTTTTTAGCCTGAGACAATTGATCAGTACTGAAATTTCATTTCCCCACAATGAGTTTGTAGTGCACCACTTCTATGAGTTCTAGCTATCATCCGAAGCTCCTAAGGTGTTGAAAACAGTAGTTGTTGATTATTGTGCATCTTATCTTCATAATTCAATTATAATTTAAGTCCCATCTCTAAAGGTATACCTGCTGTTTATTTATTTGAGACCACTGAACGTGCATCTTCGCCCAAAACGATTAAGTGGAAATCATATTATGTCCCTGGTTAATTCCCGGCACTAAGTTGAGAGAATTAATTCCACATCGAGAAATGAGAGATCTTATATGTGCTTATAAGTAATTGAGTTATCCTCCATATTATCAATTGATTGATAGAATCTCAACTTTCTTCATAGCACTAGAGCAGGTTGCTCCGTGCATGAAGCCTAACGGCCACACATGCTCCACATCACCCGATTTGTGTTGTCCACGCGCTAGACTTGAAAATCCCCACACATGAGGGGCCATGTTGAGAGTATCAATCTCACGTCGGAATATGAGGAACCTTACATGTGCTTAAAAATAATCAGTTTCACTCCATATTGCCAATTGATTTTATTGTGGAACCTCAACTTTCTTCATCCAAATCTATCTTTCACTGGACTATCTTCACAAGATTGTGAAAAACTTTTGTTCATTAATCTTATAGTAAAAGCTTAATTACTTCAATAGAAGTCTCTATCAAAGGCCTTTCTTTCGGAAAGAGATCCTTTCCGGATCTCTTTCACAAAGGTCACTGGATCAAGTGATCTGGACCTTTGAAATTTCATCTAACGGCCCATCTGTTTTGATCTCTTAAGAGCTATAATAATTTTTTGCCGTTGGATGAAATTTTAAAGGCCCAGATCACTTGATCCGGTGACCTTGATGGAAGAGATCCGGAGAGGATCTCTTTCCCTTTTTTCCATTTGTATATTAGCCTTGCAAAGTGGCAAAACACTAGTGGTACTAGGATTATTGGTTTCTCTTTTTCTCTCTTTATTTTGGTGCAGGGTTACATCCCTTGGCATATAAAAATCAAATGCTACAAAACACAGTGGCTTATTTGATGATATGAAGTGATATGGTGATTCAGGTTCTCATCAAAACAAGTTCTTTAATTGTGGCATATTATATATTTTATAGTTGCAGAGTTATTTTGTAACCCATAAAATATGAAGGTAGAAAAAGAAGTAATTTCCGCACATCATTTTTCTTCTTATGCACAATTTTATTTATTTCTAACCTTTGAATTAAACAAATTGAAAAACAATCAAATGACATGAGTAAATACGAGGGTCATCCAAAAGAAAAAAGGAGTGCGTGAAAGTCATTTTTTCTATGATTGCATACCAGTGTGAAACTACAATGTTCGTATAATTCCAAATTTATCGGATGTCCGGCGTCCAAGCTACACAAACACAACAGCTTATATGATTTATATTATAAATGGTGACTCAAGAGTCTCAGGAAACAAGTTCTTAGAGATATATGGTTCTGCTAAAATTAATTAATATGCAATGATTGTAATTTCGTTGTTATTTCCACATCAGTAGTATATTTAGTTTTCATGACATAAACATGGATGGCTAATGTTTCAACCACCAATCAGAAAGGCATTTACAGAGTTCACTTATACTATTAATTTAACCATTAAACAACATTACAAGGTCCAACTTAAACATCAACAGCTAAAGCTTTGGGGCTTAATGTGTTTTTTTTCCTTTCTGGAAAGCGATATTCTAAACTGGTCTAGTTTATAAAGAAGGAGATTCGAACTGTGTGTCAAAGCACAAGCATAATGACCAAGCCAGCTCACACATATGCATTTATTGTTAATTTATAATTTATAACTTAATTTCTTTGTCCCAAATTACTTTTGGAGATGGGATTTTCAAATTATGAGTTAAAAGTCCACATCATTTAGGTATACATTAATCAACATATCTATCTACTTCAGTTATGAATGGACAAATCAAGGTCTTTGTTCTAAACCACCACATGCTATGAATTGAAATGACATGTACTAAAAAGCTTGCTAAATTAATTGTATAATAAAGAAAGATGAACATTTTACCCTCTACCAGTCAAGTGCAAACCTATGCTTATCTGCTTTACCAGAGCAACTGCATACATATATAGAAACTCAAAAGTTTTCAACTTAACACCAAATAATGAGTTATTGAAGTACATGAAAACTAGCTAGTTAAGAAATACCAGAAAGTTCAAACAAACTCCTCCACATCCTATCCAGCAAAACTAAACTAAGATATCAGTCTTACACAGAAAATATAATTAATAGTTGGAAGATAGATGGATAGATATATATGTATATATATTAGCCTCCCTAAAGCATGCACCAATGCACCTGAATTAATCATCTGAATCCTCTGAACTCGAATCAGAATCGGAAGCCTGGGAAGACCTGGAAGCCTCCTTGATCCCGAGTCCCTCCACCTCTTCTTCCCATGGTGTGACCTGGAACCATCCTTTGATCCCTTTGGTTTCCAAAAGTTCACCTTCATCATCAGATTCGTCGCCTGAAACCCTAAAGGCAGAGTCTCCATCTTTTTCCACAGAAAAAGGCCCCACAAGTTCTCCACTGCCATCATCCTGTGACAAACTGGTACTTACACTACTCTAATTTACATTAGAACAAGTTGTTGGGGGATTCGAACAAATTGCAGACACGTATACGAAATGAAGATTATTTCTGTAATACCCTAAATTGGCGCATTAACTAAGAAAAGAAACTAACAAAGAAAGAACTTGTGGAGTTTTTTATGTATTCTACCTTTCTGCATATCCACCAAAAGTAGAACAGTTTGATCTTCTTGTGCACATGAAAAGGGCCAACAACCTCTATCTCTACTACTGCCACTTCTTCTCCTTCAACAGTGATTGGTTTCCCTCCCCTTCTCAGAACCCTCAAACCACCGTTCCCCATACGCTTTGGGCACTGCACATATACATAAAAACATACACACATTAATATATATGTGTGTGTGTGTGTTAGTTCATACGTTGTGTCATGTGACTGATTGTCACACATGCATTTTGCTAAGCAATATCAGAAAAAGTTATATGTGAGAGACAAATAAAACTTAAGGACTAAACTTTCTAGCTAGAACTTACAGTTAAGGCTCTATGGTATTGAGCATCTTCCATCACACCTGCACACAAATACAATGGAAGATGACCAATTTCCAAAATCTCTCCGTTACATTTCTTGCAATCAACTCGGATGTGGTAACGGGGGAAGGGATCTCCCAGCCACCTTCCGGCTCAAGCTTAGTGACTCCATCAAGACTCTCCACCGAAACATACAGAATGAGCCGGCGAGTCCTTGGCATCGTACCTAGTTCCTCGCAGTGCAAAATGTACCTTAACCAACACTTGTGACCCCTCTCTCTCTCTCTCACACACATACAAAATAAGTTCCTTTTTTTTGGTCGAACACAATGAGTTCTTCAAAGCACTTGCATATGGGGACTCATTTATTAGTGAAAGAGATCGAACAATTTTAAACAATTAAGCTAGCTTCCCCTAAACTGCACGGTAATAATGGAGAGGCTCCAAGGACTCGTTAATCCTTCTGTGTATGTAACATGTTATTTTGCCAAATTTGCACTGCCATTTCTTTTTCTCTTTCACCTTTTCTGGAGTTCTTTTCCTTGGACCATGCATCAAGAAATGGACTGCTGTTGACTTCTAAAAACGGTAAAAACTTGCTACACTGTCAGTGGCGAAGCTAGGAATTGTTGGGTGGAGGGGCGAAAATTTTCGAATCCTTACCTCCAATTAGTAAACCGTTTCTCAGTGAAGACATCACTTCCATCATTTCTCACTTTATCAAAATCACATTTGAAAAGTAGCAATAACGACAAAATGCTACATCTTTTGCTATACTATACTTCAATCACTCAAAATTATCAAACTAACGGGTGATAAAACATCGATTGTCCTTCCCCATAACTTATAGTATCATTCCATTACCTAAATGTATAATGGAAAGAAAAAAAAGTCACTTAATCCTAGAGTAGAGTCTATCACGAGTAATAACTAATTAGACCAATAATTCAATTAATTAATATTAATAATTATATAAATTTATTAATAATTAACAATTAATTTAATCAAGAATCAAAAATTCAATTAATCAATAATCAACAGTTAAATTCATCAATAATCAACAATTCATTCATCAATAACGATACAATTCATATCAATTATTCTATATCAATTAAACAAAACTTTATATTAAACTATCAATTAGGGATAATTAAATTTAAAAAAAAAAAAACATTAGATATTTACATTAAAAGTGGCTATGGAAGTTGGCTTGGAAGATGTTGGCTTCAAGGCTTCGAGGCTCCTTGGAATGGAAGGTGGAAGCCGCTGGCTAAGGCTTGAAGGCTTGAAGCTGGAATGGAAAGGGACACGGACGAATGGAAGGTGGTCCCCTTATCTTTTTAACTTTCAATGATCACACGGCGCCGTTTTTAGCTTCTTAGTATTTGTTTAGTACGCCGAAACGATGTCGTTCTGCTTAAGGTTTCTTTTTCATAAACCCAGGTCCAAAACAACAGACGCCCGCAGCGCAGCAGCAGGAAGGAAAAGGAATGGTTTGCAGGTTTTTCGACGATCTAAAGGGGGCAGCAAATTGCTGCTGGGCATCATTTCCGGCGAGAAGAGGGGCGACCGCCCCTCCTTTCACCTATGTAGCTTCGCCCCTGTACACTGTGTTCCTGGAAATGGAATAAAACCTTGCCACCCCATCCATGTCAACTTTTTTTTATTCTTCTTCTTGCTTTCTTCAATGAAAAAGGGTTAGGAGTGAAAACCCCGATAAAGTTCTTCAACTTCTTTCGGTTCTAGTATTCTCATATTTTCATTTCTAGGGTTTAGGTTCTGGGTTACGCAAGTTCTTTGGTGAGCATTTGGATTTGCAGTGCTTAATAAGAAATATTGATGATCTTTTAGCTACCCTAGCATACATCTCAGAAGGCTAATTTCCAGAAATCTTTTGGATTACTTTTTTTTATTTTTTATTTTCTAGTAGAACAAATTTCCCGGTGTGAAATTATAATTTTCTTATCACTTCAAACCATCCGATCGACGTTCTCAGAGACAAAATTAAAGCGTTCGTAAAAGATAATAGAATATTAATTACACTAACACTCACTGAGATTTTTCGTATTTCCACAGGACTAAGTTTAACAGATTAATCAAATGCCTAATAGATCACAAAAGGTAACCGTGTCAAACAGAACCCATGCATGCAAGTGAAACTGTAGCTAACAAAGAATTTCTTCCAGGGCTCTCTATAATTATGTGCGACCTTCGTAATCGTATGTTCTTTCAGATCATACACAAGAAGATTTTTCGCACCCTGATGCAACTGTAGTTCATGACCATCAACTCTCGCATGACGAGTTTCATTCTTCCAGGATGGGTCATCCTTTAAAAACTCCAAGGGAATGACCATCTTTTTACTCCATCTGTGTGTCATGAAGTCTTCTAAAAGAAAAACATGAGGGCAGCTTCTACATTATCAGCTAGGGTGGCTCATTGTTACCTCTTACATACCCCTCTCAATTTTCCGCCACCAGATCGAATGAATTGAAGAATATCAATGGACAAAAATTAAAAAATGTGTGTGCGACGTAAAAAAATGGGTGTTAATAGCATTCCCCAATTAGCTAAATAGCGATTCCAACTAAAAACCCAAAACTTTTCTCTAGTCCAAGAACACTCCTTGTGGAAGAGTAGTAGTGCTGAAACATTCACTCCATATATCAAGAAACTGAACTTCCAAGCACAAATCTAGTCCATCACGAACAATTTCCACCGCATGAGCATTCCCTTCAACCTTATTTGGTCCAAAAGAATGTCGTTTCAGCACATACTAGGCATGATAAAATGATTTCTTACAGTGACAAGGATCATCTTATTTCCATTTCACCTCAATTTGTTAACTGGTTTTTGGACAAACGATAATATCTACATTAAGAGGAAGAGATGGACTTAGTCTTACAATGAGCTAGTAATAATTTGGTTCAAATTTTTTGACGAAAATTGAACCTAAGACCTCTCACTTACAAGTGAAGAGGAATACCACTAAACCGTAGTACTAAATGACGTTAACTGGTTATTTTTAAAAGGAAAAATAAATACAATTTGAAAACGATGATGTAAGTGCATATATATGCCAGTGCAAGATTCAACATCAAAAGGATTCAACACCAAAAGGATTCTAAATTTCCATGGCATCTAAAGAACTTGAACGAAAAGGACATGCCAAACAAATAAGATAATGAAGAAGACAATGTCTCCATTGAAGCCGCATTTACAAATATAGCCACAATGTGAGTTCCCTTATAGGCTACTACTAGACTTATCACTTATGAAGATACAAATGGTGTAGTCCACCATGCTCCCTCCTCTTTCAACCATCAAAAAGAGACCTTCGATCAATTCGGCTCTGAACAAACTAATCTCGCTACCCGAACGCAACATTTTACATTATGTCGTTCGGATTACAAGAGCTGCTTATATTCCCACTTCGGGGTGCTAATGCTATAAGGAACAAGGATATTCACTAAAGTGGTACAAATCAAAAGTAAAATCGAGCACAGGTAATGCCTAAACATCTCTCTAAAACATTGTATGCTCCACATATATGACCTATACTTTTTGCCCTTACCAAAATATTCCCAGGAGGAATATAGGCAACTGATGAATGAAGTTCACTGCAGTTGCAATCTGGAATAAAGTGAACTGAGAATTTAAAGTCCTCGCTTTGAAGCAACCCCTCGCATGACAGTTACTCCAAGAAGAAATACAGTTTACTCATTCCTACTTCATACGGGTCCTTTACTGCTAAAGAGAGAGTTGCAGTTTTTTCTTCTCTTCGGTTCAGGCTCACCTAACTGCAACGAAACAGATACCTCTTCATCCAAGCTACTCTGCAATGGCAAAAGGTTTTTTGGTACCTGATTTCCCTCTTGCTTGTTTTGATTTCCTGGAGATCTGCTGGTGGCACTGGGAATGAATTGGTGTTCTATATTTGGAGCAGTTTCAACACAATTTTCTATGTGAAAGTCACCACGCATGAATGGTCGAATCAGTCCCTGACAGGACTCACCTTCAATTGGAATTTTCTGAAGATTGAAACCCAAAGGTCCATAGTCATCTTCTAGCTTATCTTTACATGAGGGCCGAACAGCTGGGGATGACTCCCCAACTGTGGAACCAATCCCCGCAGCTGAAGCATTTCGTTGCTCTTGGATAGCAGCTATGTTCACAACAAAGCAGAACAGGAGTCAGGAAAATATGCTCAACAAAGCCAAGAGTCAGCAAAAACATAGAACTCCATTCGTATTTTAAGAGTTTGCAGACGGTGTTAGACTAAGAACAGCAGAACCCAAAAAAGGGGAAATGGAAAAACAACAATTGGCTGGTTTAGACGCACAAACCTTGAAACCCTTCCTTGGTTGTTATCAGGTCAAGTTCAAGGAGCTGAAGAAGCCGTCCAAGATCGACTCCACTTGTCCAATTTTCAGGTGGTTGGCCAATTTTTAGTTTCAAGCGACCACGGTTAGCTGTCCCACCCCAAATGATCCCAACCGGTCGTGGCTTCTCCCCATTCTGACCAGTCAATAGAATGAGGCTTCCACTATCGCCTTCAAGATCAAAACTCTGCTGATTCTCTCCGACAACAAGAAAATCAGTAAAGAAACATATCCCTTTTTCATCATTGTATTCTAGGGCATACGCCATGATGGTCCCAGTCGTCAAGCCTGAACTTATCCCAACTTTCATCACTTGCCTTCCGATAAGACTGTTGATTGGAGACTGCAAGTCTATGGTGTAGACATCACCAATCTCACCTATGCCTCTTACAGTTGTAATTACATTGTTCAAGTTGAAATCTTCGGCAAAAGGAATGAAGGCACCATCAGCTCGCACAAATGTTTCTGCAGGGGCACCAAATCGTAATAGGCACAGGCTGGAGTCAGAACACGATGAGAACCCAATAGCAAAAGTGATAAGTTGCAGAAAATTGAGAAACTACAAATTATCTTGCTCCAGAGTGCTACTCAAATAAATTAGTGGCAGATCAAACTCAACCTTATAACAAGAAATTCAACTGTATGTTTGTGCCTTAAATCCTTCAAACCAAGTTGTGCCTTCCAAATACTGATTGGTTGAACGCTTTTGTTTCTTAGACCATGTAGACAGAATTTAAAGTATTATGATGTAAACATATTGGGCTAGGACAAGGCGCAAGGTACATAAACTTACAAATCAATCAATCCCCATTTGTGGATACACAAACTGGTTTCCTCAACTAAGCGACGATAGCCCCTAGTGTCCTTATCTAATTTTCCCCTATGTTCTAGACACACCTTCAAGCTCATAAATAACAGCTGCTGACTATTTGCAACGGAAGATGCACATAAACTTCGCTTATGGGATAAGGCTTGGTTGTTGTTACCTGGGTTTGTTCCAGCAAATATACCGTACCAAAGATCATCTGTGATAAAAGATGTTGCCCTCTCCACAGCGCCAAGATACACCCCAGGTCCAAGGCTTGGTGGCAATGGATGAAACATTTTCTGGTTTGGATAGTCCAAATCAACTGCCACATGCCGATTTGTGAGAAAACCAACCTGTCGATTTCCCGTTCGGCTTTTAACAATAGCACCCAGAGTTCCATACGTCTCCTGGCTAGCAACCTAAAGAAGAAAAAAGCAATTAGGTAAACTTAAATAGTTGAGACACAATGAGCTCAATGTATATACAGATCTCTGATCAATAAATAAATTTGACAACTAGGGAATGGGAAGTTTTGTAAGTTCATGACTATTCCTGAAAGCTTAAACGGTTGGAAATCTTGGGGTGCAGGCCAATATTCTAATACTCTCCCTCATGTTGGGCTTCCCCCTAGCACTAGTGGAACCAACACATAAAACTCAACATAGAGAGGTTGCAGTGGCAGGGATATGAACTCAAGATCACCCGCTTTAATACTCTGATAAGTTTCTTCAGTTTACCACCATTCACAATACTTTCAGTTCCTTGAATTAGAAATAAAGCGAACCACAAATCCTGTAATTTTGAGAGTAATGAGCAAATTACTGGCCAAACAAAACCCAACCAAATCTTATGTACTGATTATGTTTTAGATGACATCCAGCATATACCAATGCATGATTTTAGCTTGTATTGTTACTACCATCCAGCCGTAAAGAAACTCATACGATAAGTGTTTAAGGATATGAACCAAACCAATTACATGACATGCATCATCCCTGGAAACCATTTACTTGAACTCAAGCAAGCCAAGTGAAGCAACGGTAACTCTATTATATATTGCAAACTACCTCACCGATTCATTATGTCATCCTTGAATAGTATTTTCATGGAGCTGTAAAGGCCTAAATAGCACTCAGGTATTTTTTCAGTTTTGATAGAAGTAATAATCTTCTTAGACCAGCCACTCATAAGATTATTACCTTATCAACTAGCTAACTTGTGTAACCCTCTCTTCAGGTCAATTCCACCTTGGATACTCAGTCTATGAGCACACCTATTGTTGCCCTCCAAAAGGAAGTTTTACGCATTATTCAAAAAAAAAAAAAAAAAAATCTTTATATCACATTAAAATTAAGAAAAGTACTAAATATTAACATATATATTTGTATGAATACCTGGGAACCAGAACCAATCCATGGATCGCTTCCCCTCAAGCCATCTGCGAGCTCTGTGTACAGCTGCTCTTTAGGAGTTGAAACTGGGGAACCATAATAGGAAAATTCGACAACATCCACATCACACCATACACCTCCTGGCCCCTGCACCATTTTTTAAATGTAGAAACCAAACAAAACAAGAACCTAGTCAAGGATCAAAACAACGAATTAGCACTTAAAAAAAATCAATACCCTGACAAGCTTATCTTTCTGACCCGCATCGTTTCAATCAATAGAAAAATACACAAGCATATCATTCAGACCAGTATCATGATTGATGTGAAATAAGGAAATTAACTTAACTGTGACTAAACAAATATGATGCAGCTAACCTCAAAGTAAAATGTCATTGACAACATAATCTAATCTGAAAACCAAAACATAGAAAAAGGACACCAAAATTCCACCTCAAGGGCAGCGGGTAGACACTGCACATGATTGAGCCATTCCCTGTGAGCTTTACGGGCAACAAAGACAAGAATGGCCGGAATGTCTGTTAAGACACCCCTTCGAATCCGAAACCCAATTGCTGTGCCAAGACTAAAAAGCCGCAATATCTTGCTATGGAATGCCCTGATGGTCATCAGCTCAAGTAAGGTTGTAGCCTGCTGCCCTGATGGCAACCTGCCCAAAGTTTCTGGAAGATCTTCCTTCTGAAGATTTCCAAAATAGTTTGCTCTATCTTCTGCTGCATCACTTAATTGACCCAATGTAGGCCATGAGAAGTAGGCAGCATTGCTCTCAGAGTGCTGACCACTAGATGCAAAAGGCTGGAGGGCCGATGGACTAACTGAAGGTAGATTAGGATGATGACCGCAGTAATTCCTTTCCAAGTCTAAAGCAGACTCCCCAGACTGTGTTGATCCAGAGTAATGATGAAATCTTAAATCTAATCTGGTCCTGTCCATGTTCCCGCTCTCCTACATCACATAAAGACATCTCTCAGGAGATCCATATTCATGGTTCACAAGCACAAAGTCTATAAAGATAACCTGCCTTTAATGATGCTTAGATTCAAAAGAAAAGAAGCACTCAATCACAAAAGAATTTTGATCCCTTCGTCAACAGAGACCCCCGGAAAAAAAAGCACACAAGAAGGGGAGAAAGAAATAAAGAAAAGATAAGAGACTACTATGAGATAGCTCGATAAAACAAAGAAAATTATTAGCATGCCAACTAACCATGCGAGTTCATAAAGACTGATGAAATCAATCTAATCTGAAAAGAAATCCAAGAAGTAAATGTTGAAACAAGGGGACAATGGCAGAAGCTCTTTTGATACAGAGTACACATTTAAGCTGTCATTTATCTAAACTGACAATTTTACATACGTTTAATCATCTCAAGCATAACACTACATACAAAAATTCGTCCAGAAAACTAAAAAATTACAGACATTAAACGCATATCAGCAACTCTCTCTGTTTCAAAAGGGCTCACAAACTCTTCAAAATGCATCTGAGGAAATTAATCCCATGATAAAGATTGGAACTTTAAGAAAATTAATAAATGCATATACATGACAAGAAAAACACCCCTTTCTTATGCAGAAATAACAAGCAAAATTAAAGCAAAAGAGGGATAAACGGCGGGATGGCTTGCTACAAGCAGAAGAAAAATACATATACATACATACATATATATATATATATATCCTATATATATATATAGAGAGAGAGAGAGAGAGAGAGAGCAAAACCCACATAACATTTCATGAAAAAGGTTGAAATAAACTGAGAAAATGGGACCTAGATTGTTCATATTGTTCATAATGAGAGAAGAAGAGACTGAACCCAGATAGAATTTATCAAAACCAAAAACAAAAGCAAATTTAAAATCCATACTTAGAAAGAGAGAGAGCTCACTGAACAACAATGGTGGAGCTGTGGAGGGCCTCAAAGCAAAGCCCTTTGAAGACTTTCATGCCCTAGTGAAAATTTCCCCCCACACCCATCATCTAAAACATCAAGATTGTGTGCCACAATAACTCCATCAAACAATCTAATTACCATCCAGCAAAAAGGATCAAATTGTATTTCTGCAGAGAGAGAAAAAGTGATAGAGTGAGAAAAAAGAGCAGCTATATTTAGAAAGAGGAGCTTTAAAGCTTAGGAGAATGAGAAGGTTTATACTTTCCATACTTTGGTTTGGACTTTGTAGAGAGGAGAGAGAGAGAGAGAGAGAGAGAGAGGAGATATCTAGTATCTGGTATTTGTTTTATAAATAATACAAAGAACCAATTTGTTGAGTATTTGTTTATGGCACCCTTTTATCTTTATTTTCTTTCTTTTTCCTTTCTCCTTTTCGCACCTCATCACATTTTCTTGGTGGGGTGTTTTAATGGAGGAGAGATGGGCAGAGAAAGGGAAATTCATTTTCTTGGATCCCATTGATATTTAATTTGGTAGTGGGGAATAAGGCCCCATCCATATTTGCTCCCCAAAAGTAGCACATTCTTCACCCTAATAATTCAATTCAATTCAATTCTCATCTAGGGTTTGGGGGAAGAGTGATCAATTTTTCATTTTTCCATGTTCTTTGCATTCTCTTTAGCAATTGTAATTCACATTAAGCTCCTTTTGTTTGCTTAATTCATTAGGGTTTCAATGTGTTTAATTTTTTTAAGCTATGGCTAATTAAGGGTTGATAGATAATTAGTCAAAGAATAGGGAATGATTACATGTGGGGGCATGTGGGAGAGAGAGTTGGAGGCAAACCCTTATGTCCCTCTAATTTAATTATCACTTCTATTCTTTGGTTTTATCTCAATAGTGAAATTTCTATAAACCCCCCCCCTCCCCCTCCACTCCAAATATTTTGTATTATGTAACGATCATCTTTGCAAAAATCAATTAAAACAAAGATCGTTTAGTCATCAAACTGTATAAAAGTAGATGGAAGGATTCGGTAAAAGCATGATGAACTGTCTTTCTATTTGCTACAACTAATTGATTAAACGTTCTTAGTTTTAATTTATTTTTTGCATGGATAATTTTTTAAGGGTAATTTATAATATGAACGGTTCCAGTCATAAACATAGAATTCTGTTAATAGGTCATGATGTATTTTGAAGAGAAACTATTTCTTGACCTTAAAAGAGCTAAGTTGTTTCACACTGTCTTTCTAGAAGACTAGAACCCTAATTCTCTCTCTCTCCCTGCATCCACTCAGAAATGCCTTTACTGCATTATCTTCCAACTTTTCTCCTACACCACACCACATTATCTTCTGCACTCATCATCCAATTATGAATCATGAAATAATGATAATCTTAATCACTCTATTCTGACTAAATTATCAAACACAGATTGAGATTGCTCATGCTAAATAATACTACATCACACATAATTGAAAGTCATACATATATATATAGGTATATATGTGTGTGTGTGTGTGTGTGTGTGTGTGTTATATGAGATATAGATAACAGAAAGCAAGCAAACAAGGCCAGCAATCACTTTTAGCCTGCAAAGTCTATTGCTTGGGACCCTTTGAAGTTGGAAGATTGCAACTTTGGATATGTAATCTTTTTTGTCATGTATATATTTGTATTCTACATTTGACAATGATTTAAAATTTGCAATTTACCCAGATACCTCAATCCTTCCCAAGCTTGAGAGAGAGAGAGAGAGAGAGAGAGAGAGGGATCAAAAGACTCCAATATGGAAGATTGCAACTTTGGATATGTAATCTTTTGTGTCTTGTATATATTTGTATTCTACATTTGACAATGATTTAAATTTGCAATTTACTCAGATACCTCAATCCTTCCCAAGCTTGAGAGAGAGAGAGCGAGAGAGAGAGAGAGATCAAAAGACTCCAATATGGTGTCATCATCCTCAGGAAAAAAATTTCTGCAATGCAATTATTTGATCACTGTCCATAAATATGGACCCCACCACAATGATCTTGTTCTATTTTAAAAAAGGAGTTTTGATTTTGTTAATTGTAGGAGCACTCCACCACAATGATCTTGTTCTTTTACACAATTTTTCTTCTCTCTCCCATTTATTGTCTTTTGTTTTGTTGCATAATATGCCAATCTTCTGGTTCAAAAGCGCAACCATTTGTCGAGAGATAATCAAAGCTGATAAATACCTTTTTAAATTCTCGTAAATTAGAGCAGTTTAGAATATTGCATTGTCACTTACAAATGTGATATATTTTCCATCTAAAGAAAAGGTTGGAGGTTCAAATTTGGTCTGTGAGACTTATGAGTGGATTGAAGAAGCATTATTCCCTACGAAACCCGCAAGAAAAAAGGTCCTCTCACAATTTGTAACCCCTTTCATTCTCATTAGTCTTGGGGGCCCTTACATGGGGCATATTGTGAGAATACCTTCCTCATATCCGATATCCCGAAGTAAAAAGTTAAACAAACTTTTATTTTATTGGTACAAAAATAGGTGAAAAGTACAAAATATGAAGAACGATACTGTAAATTTCACTAAAGTTGTATTGTAAATGTGAATAATAATAGTTTATAGAGAAATGCTAAGAAAACTTTCTCAAAAGTGAAACTCTTTATGTTTTTTTGTTCATTATGTTATAATATTGGCACATAGCTTAATGTTAAACGGTGACGTGAGAGAGTCTCCTTAATGTTATTATAGTATATAATGGAGAAAAAATTTTGGTCAATGATGAGGTCAACCGCACAAAATCGTGGACTTTTTTGAATTTTGTCACACCCCATGAAAAAGTTTTCTTAATGCGGTGGCCCACCCAATATTCACCCTTTTGGTGAAGCTCTAAGTCCCACAAGGTTGAATTTTCTCTACCATCCTCCATTTTACATGCTAAATCTAAATTATCTCCATTTTTGCATATTATTTCTTGAAACATTCGCATTAAATTTTGTTTTTGGTCCTTCTTACCCTATTAAGTGATGCGTGCCGCCGCTTAGTATTGTAATATAACGATATTCTACTTTACTTGTAAATGAGAGGTTTTAGATTTGATTATCGTAAAAAAAGTTCAAATTATAACTAATCTACTACTCCACTCTTTTAGTGTAAATAATATCATTAATTTAAAAAATGACAAGTGTCATTTTTTATTATAAAAAAAAAACGTTTAATGTTTTTGGTTAAGAATTAATAATGAAAAATATAAGAAAATAACACGTATCGTTTAAGAAAAAATAAAAAAATCGAAATACAAAGTTTAGTGTAAAGGTTGCTAATAATTCTATTTGTAATTTGGGTTTTGTTTCCAGTTTGGCCCAAACACAACTTGGAAGAGATTAAAACAAACAGCCCACTGGGCCAAATTCAACATTCGAATCGCTGACGTGGCACAACTTCCGTAAGCTCAGCTCAAAACGCAGGAGGCAGAAAGGGGAGAAGACGACCGAAAAACGAATTTAACGAACGATGTCAGAACCGCAGCTGCCGACAACGATGGCAAATTTGGGCGAGTGCAATCGGCTGCAGAGCGCGCTAACGGATTGCCACAAGCGGATCAGCCCGGCTCGGGGTCGGGAGGCGGCGTGCCGACACCTGAACCGGGGATTGGCGGAGTGCTTGGTGTCGGTGGCGTGCCCGGACGAGTGGGAAGCGGTTCGAAGCCTGTGCGGGAGTGGCGGAACGGGGTTGAAGCGGAGTCAGTGCCAGGAGGCTCAGCTGTTGCTCTTGATCTGCCTCTCATCGCACCAACACCGCCTCAACTCAAATGCTGATCAATGAATAATGTTTAATTAATTATTCGTTTGTAATTAGAATGCTAATTAGAAAAAGAGAAAATATGTAATTTTGTTGGATTAAGCGGAAGACGTTCTTCACATCAAACTTTTGTAATGATTATACAATCAATATATTTTTTGCTACCAGTCTCGTCTTTTTTTTTTTTTTTTTTTTTTTTTACTTAAAACGAGAAAAATCATAAATCAGATAAATCAATAATACGAGAAGAATTATAGAACGGGAAACATGTAAAGTGATAGTATTCCAAACCTATCATACCTCACTACGTGTTCTTAGCTTTTTAATGTTGCATGATCAGTTTGAAACGCCAACGTCATTAACTTTGGAGAGAATTATTAACTAAGTGATTACATGGACTTACCACTCGTGGCCATCGCATGATAAACAACACTCTTTCAAAGTACCAGCTGATCTCAAAGATCTGAGTAATAGTTTAACAACATAACATGTCACACGACAATAGATGATCTGATAACCGAGGTTTACAGACACAACAAAGACGCACAAACTCAATTCGCAAATTATACGTCGTTTGATTTATGATCGGTAGTGTGTAAAACCTAAGTCGAAAACCTGTTTCTGTCATGAGGAGAAGAGTAGTCGATATCTGGCCCGCTAGGAATTATTCCGAATGGATTGATAGACGGATGGCTTCCGTAGTAGTGCCGCTTTATGTGATCCATGTTGACTGTGCTGCTCATCCCCGGAACCTGGAAAATGTCTTTGGTGTAGTTGAACAAATTCGGGTATTCTCGTACTACTTTCTTGTTGCACTTGAAGTGGACTACGTAAACCTGTCATCAACGATAAAAAAAACTAGCATGGTTCTTGGTTCTCTTCATATTATAGATCGAAAACCATTAAATTGGCGGAATTTTCTGACAAAAAAACAAATCTTGCTTGAGGAGTCAAAAAACAGTACCTCGTCGAATCTTATAAGAGTGACAAACAACCGAATATCTGCTTCAGATAATGTGTTCCCGCACAGGTATCGTTGCTTGCTAAGTATCTCCTCACATTTATCCAAAGCTTCGTACAATTGTTTCACAGCCTGAGAAAGTGCGAAGAGAAAGATTAACCAATGTGTTTGAGATAGCACAAATGGTCCTTAAAGAGAACGTAAACTCCAGAACCTACACAGTCAAAACTAATTACAGCTTCAAAAACATACCTCATCATAAGGCTCTTGCTTCCTCGCAAACCCGCATTTATAGACACCGTTGTTTATCTTGTCATATATCCACTCATTTGTCTGATCAATTTGGGATTGCAAGTGAGGAGGATATAAGTCCAAAGACGCATTTTCAGCTATATCGTTGAATTCAGTATTGAACATGCGAATAATCTCCCCGCTCTCATTACTCACAATTGTTTTGAGTTTTTTATCCCATAGAACCTATCAAAAGTAAAATGATCAGTCATTTGGTATCAGATAGTCAACGAAAGAAAAATGAAAAGGCCACTTAATATGAGTGAACATACCGGAACTGTGTACTTTCCAGTATACTGTGTGCTTGCAAGCTCGTAAAGTTCTCTAATGCTTTTTGCTCCATTCAAAGGGTCAGGTTCAGCTCCCGCTAGCTCTGTTTCGGAAGCAGGAAAAACCCACCCCATATGTTCATCACTTTCTTTTGTCCTTTCCCATATCGGTTTGACTGACTAAGTGACGCAAAACAATCAAACAATCAAACAAACAGATAAGATTAATTTGGCACTTAGAAAGTGAATCTAGTAAGTAAAGATCTAATATACAGTACTATACCGTAAAGCTGATGGCTTTATCGAGTCCTTTTATGTTCAAGTATGCAAGGCACCTGGAAGCCCAAGGGCAAGCATATGATACATACAGATGATATCTTCCAGCTTCTGCCGGAAATTGAGAATTCGGGTCCCGCGAAATGAAGTTACGAAATACAGAAGCAGTCCTCACAAATGCACCTGATAGTGAGGTCTCGTCTAGTGCAGATCGAGCCATTTTATTGTGTGCTGAAGAATGAATACCTGCAGAAATTAGCACATCTATGATTTTATCCAATTGTTGAAGTAGCACATCTAAGAAACCTTGAGTATATTAAGATGATAATGTAAATATTGAAGCTTCATACAGCCACACGCAAACAAACCCGCGGGATTGGATTCGAAATCAAAGGAAACCTGAATTGATTGAAATGATTTCTGTTCAAAGAAACTTTGCATCATTATCTGCAATTCAGCTAGAACCAGATACACCTAGAAATATCAAACCCTTGATTACAACTGACACGAAAATTTTCGCTAAAATCTGAGTAATGGGCAGTTAGTTGGATGAAACTAAATGGACGATCTTTTTTGGGGTGTGATATTCACACACCCTTTTTTACTTCTCACACACCTTTTTAATTTTCGGCAGTTGGATCGGATGAATTGAATAAGATCAAAGGACATAAATTAATAAGAGGTGTGTGAAAAGTAAAAAAGGGTGTGTGGATAGCACACCCCTCTTTTTTTCTGGGTAGTTAACCGATAATCGATTCGACATTTTTTAGATTCTTACCAAATGGATTACTTTTTTTTTTTTTTTTTTTTTAAATTCTCCGGACAGTTTTTGAAAAGTTCTCCAACTAACTACCCAATTCATTGTTTTCCACTGCAGTGTTATTCAAAAATTCACAACCACCAAATGCATCGAATTAAGAGAAGAACAAGACAACTTAAGAGTAAGAGTAATAATCAATCATCAAACTAGCAATTAAAACGAAGATAATATGAATTAATCCAGCAGAAGCAAAAGGAAATATGAATTGCAAAGGCAGCAGAACAACAAAATTAAAACTTTTAAAGGAAAATTCAGCAGCTTTGTATGCGAAAATTGAAAACAGAGCAAACTAAATGAAAACTTAAATTAAATTGTTACCTTGAAGGCTTGAAGGGGATCTGAGGGAGAGAATCGGAGAGAGAGAGCCAGAGAGAGAGAGAGAGAGAGAGGTGATCTCTGCGTCCGACCAACCAGATCTGAATGGTAACAATAAACAAATAGAAAAAGAAAAGTCTGAAAACGAGGAAAAGATCATCATCAGTTACGTCATCTTGTTTGGATGAATAGTGATCGTGTGGGGTATTATGCATCGTTTGAAAGTGTTTCTAAAATGACTGAAAACGGTTTTAGTAAAAATGTTTTTAAAATCAATCCTTAGTAAAAATCTAAATGGATCTTGAAAAAACATTTTAAGTACTTTATGCAAGAAGAACATATCTGATGCTTATTTCAAAAAGCACTTAAGTGCTTTTAGAAACCAAAATCAATTACATTAAAAACGTTTTCAATCATTTTAAAAGTATCTCCAAACGAGCCATTAATTAGCAGTTTATCCAAAAGTAATTGTGGTTGTGGATCATATTCTTGTTCAAATTTAGTTATAGTCCGATCTGAATACCTTTTGTCTTTTATGAAATTTCAGTTTTGAGTTACTTGTATCGAGTTAAGTGATTCTTCTTATTAACAATTGTCACTCATAATATTTGAATTCAAGACCTCCTTAACAAAGACTGAATGCAGCTGAACCAAATGAATTATGTATTATTTTAGTTTTACTAGAAGACCCCACATTATCAAAAACAGGGACAAGGCAGGGAATTTTCAACTTTCTATAATAAACTAGTACTCACCATTTATCATCTTCTCACTTCTAAGGTTCAATTCAGTAAAAACGTCAGCCCAAATACATCTTAGATTCTCAATCGCATATAAAATACATTTCAATCATGATATATAGTTAAACATGTTTAATTAATATATAGAATCTCAATCGCATATAAACTATATGGGTATTCTACTTCATTTGTAAGTGAGAGATTTTAAATTTGATTATCGTAAAAAGAGTTCAAATTGTAGCTAACTACTCCTTCACTCTATTAATGTAAATAATATCATTAATTAAAAAAATGACACCTATCATTTTTTATTATAAAACAAAACGTTTAATGTTTTTGGTTAAGAATTACTAAGGAAAAATGTAAGAAAATAACACGTATTGTTTAAGAAAAAATAAAAAAGTCCAAATGCAAAGTTTAGTACGAAAGGTTGCTAATAATTCTGTTTGTAAATTGGGTTTTGTTTCCAGTTTGGCCCAAGCACAACTTGGAAGAGATTAAAACAAACAGCCCACCGGGCCAAATTCACCATTCGAATTGCTGACGTGGCATGATTTTCCGTAGGCTCAGCTCAAAACGCAGGAGGCATAAGGGGAGAGGACGAGCGAAAAACGAATTTAACGAACGATGTCAGAACCGCAGCTGCCGACAACGACGGCGAAATTGGGCGAGTGCGATGGGCTGCAGAGCGCGTTATCGGATTTCCACAAGCGGATCGGGCCGGGTCGGGGTCGGGAGGCGGCGTGCTGACACCTGAACAGGGGATTTGAGGAGAGCTTCGTGTCGGTGGCGTGCCAGGACGAGTGGGAAGCGGTTCGGAGCCTGTGCGGGAGTGGCGGAACAGGGCTGAAGCGGAGTCAGTGCCAGGAGGCTCAGCTGTCGCTCTCGGTCTGCCTCTCATCGCACCAACACCGCCTCAGCTCAAACGTTGATCAATACAATAATGTTTAATTAATTATTGGTTTGTAATTAGAATGCTAATTAGAAAAAGAGAAAATATGTAATTTTCTGGGATTAAGCTTTTTTTTTGTGTGCGCCGTTTTGAAGGAAGACGTTCTTCACATCGAACTTTACTAATGACGATACAATCAACATATTTTTGCTACCAGTCTCGTCTTATTTTTTTTACTTAAAACGAGATAAGTCATAAATCAGAGAAGTCAATAATACCAGAAGAATTATACGAAAGGGAAACATTTAAGGTGATAGTATTCCAAACCTTAACTTTTGATCGGTTTGAAACGCTGACGTCATTAACTTAGGAGAGGATTATTAACTAAGTGATTACATGGACTTATCACTCGTGGCCATCGCATGATAAATAACACTCTTTCAAAGCACCAGCTGATCTCAAAGATCTGAGTAATAGTTTAACAACATAACATGTCACACGACGACGATAGACGGTCTGATAAATGAGCTTTACAGACACAACAAAGACGCACAAACTCAATTCGCAAATTATACGTCGTTCGATTTATGATCGGTAGTGTGTAAAACCTACGTCGAAAACCTGTTTCTGTCACGAGGAGAAGAGTAGTCGAAATCTGGCCCGCTAGGAATTATTCCGAATGGATTGATAGACGGATGGCTTCCGTAGTAGTGCCGCTTTATGTGATCCATGTTGACTGTGCTGCTCCTCCCCGGAACCTGGAAAATGTCTGGTGTAGTTGAACAAATTCGGGTATTCTCGTAGTACTTTCTTGTTGCACTTGAAGTGGACTACGTAAACCTGTCATCAATGACAAAAAAAAAACTAGCATGGCTCTTGGTTCTCTTCATATTATAGATCGAAAAACATTAAATAGGCGGAATTTTCTGACAAAAAACAAATCTTGCTTGAGGAGTCAAAAAACAGTACCTCGTCGAATCTTATAAGAGTGACAAACAACCGAATATCTGCTTCAGACAATGTGTTCCCGCACAGGTATCGTTGCTTGCCAAGGATCTCCTCACATTTATCCAAAGCTTCGTACAATTGTTTCACAGCCTGAGAAAGTGGAAGAGAAAGATTAACCAATGTGTTTGAGATAGCACAAATGGTCCTTAAAGAGAACGTAAACTCCAGAACCTACACAGTCGAAACTAATTACAGCTTCAAAAACATATCTCATCATAAGGCTCTTGCTTCCTTGCAAACCCGCATTTATAGACACCGTTGTTTATCTTGTCATATATCCACTCATTTGTCTGATCAATTTGGGATTGCAAGTGAGGAGGATATAAGTCCAAGGATGCATTTTCAGCTATATCGTTGAATTCAGTATTGAACATGCGAATAATCTCCCCGCTCTCATTACTCACAATTGTTTTGAGTTTTTTATCCCATAGAACCTATCAAAAGTAAAATGATCAGTCATTTGGTATCAGATAGTCAACGAAAAAAAAAAGGAAAAGGCCACTTAATATGAGTGAACACACTGGAACTGTGTACTTTCCAGTATACTGTGTGCTTGCAAGCTCGTAAAGTTCTCTAATGCTTTTTGCTCCATTCAAAGGGTCAGGTTCAGCTCCAGCTAGCTCTGTTTCAGAAGCAGGAAAAACCCACCCTATATGTTCATCACTTTTTTTGTCCTTTCCCATATCGGTTTGACTGACTAAGTGACGCAAAACAAGCAAACAATCAAACAAACAGATAAGATTAATTTGGCACTTAGAAAGTGAATCTAGTAAGTAACGATTTAATATACAGTACTATACCGTAAAGCTGATGGCTTTATCGAGTCCTTTTATGTTCAAGTATGCAAGGCACCTGGAAGCCCAAGGGCAAGCATACGATACATACAGATGATATCTTCCAGCTTCTGCCGGAAATTGCGAATTCGGGTCCTGCGAAATGAAGTTACGAAATACAGAAGCAGTTCTCACAAATGCACCTGATAGTGAGGTCTCGTCTAGTGCAGATCGAGCCATTTGATTGCGTGCTGAAGAATGAATACCTGCAGAAATTGGCACATCTAAGATTTTATCCAATTGTTGAAGTAGCACATCTAAGAAACGTTGTGTACATTAAGATGATAATGCAAATATTAAAGCTTCATACAGCCACACGCAAACAAACCCGCGGGATTGGATTCGAAATCAAAGGAAACCTGAATGGATTGAAAAGATTTCTGTTCAAAGAAACTTTACATCATTATCTGCAATTCAGCTAGAACCAGATACACCTAGAAATATCAAACCCTTGATTACAACTGACACGAAATTTTTTGCTAAATCTGAGTAATGGGCAGTTAGTTGGATGAAACTAAATGGACAATCTTTTTTCTGGGTAGTTAACTAATCAATTCGACATTTTTTAGATTCTTACTAAATGGATTACTGTTTTTGGAAAGTTCTCTAGACTGTTTTCCCCAACCACCCCAATTCATTGTTTTCCACTGCAGTGTGATTCAAAAATTCACAACCACCAATGCATCAAATTAAGAGAAGAACAAGAAAACTTAAGAGTAATAATCAATCATCAAACTAGCAATTAAAACGAAGACAATATGAATTAATCCAGCAGAAGCAAAAGGAAATATGAATTGCAAAGGCAGCAGAATAACAAAATTAAAACTTTTAAAGGAAAATTCAGCAGCTTTGTATGCGAAAATTGAAAACAGAGCAAACTAAATGAAAACTTAGATTAAATTATTACCTTGAAGGCTTGAAGGGGATCTGTGGGAGAGACTCGGAGAGAGAGAGCGAGAAAGCGAGAAAGAGAGAGAGAGAGAGAGAGTTGGTGTAGTGCTGTTGGTGAGCTTGAAAACGAGGAAAAGATCATCATCAGTTACGTCATCTTGTTTGGATGAAGAGTGATCGAGATCACGATTTATTTGAAAGTGCTTCTAAAATGACTGAAAACGGTTTTGATAAAAATGTTTTTAAAACGAATCATTAGTAAAAATTTAAGTGGATCTTGAAAAAACACTTTAAGTGTCACATCTCGGCCCAAGCCTCCACCACAAGCTTGGCTCGACTTCACACAAGAACTTTCACCTATCCTGGGATTGCTCTGGCGCGGACTCACTTAACTTCGGAGTTTCTATGAACCTGAAGTTAGTGAGCTCCTAAAAGGCTTTGTGCTAGGTAAAGATGAGAATATACATATAAGCTTACATGATCCACTCCCATGTGGGATCTTACATTAAGTACTTCATGCAGAAGAACATATCTGATGTTTCTTTCAAAAATCACTTATGTGCTTTTAGAATCCAAAATTAATTACATAAAAAACGTTTTCAATAATTTTAAAAGCACCTATAAATAAGCCCTTAATTAGCCGTTTACCAAAAAGTAATTGTGGTTGTGATCATATTCTTGTTCAAATTTAGTTACAGTCCAACTACCTTTTATCTTTTATGAAATTTCAATTTTGAATTACTTGTATCGAGTTAAGTCATTCTTCTTATTAACATTTGTCGCTCATAATATTTGAATTCAAGAGCTCCTTAACAAAGTGAAGACTGAACCAAATGAATTATGTATTATTTTAGTCTTAACTAGAAGACCCAACATTCTCCAAAACAGGACAAGGCAGGGAATTTTCAACTTTCTATAATAAACTAGTACTCACTACTCATCATCTTCTCTCTTGTAAGATTCAATTCAATAACACCGACTGCCAAATACATCTTAGATTTTCAATCGCATATAAAATATATTTCAATCATGATATCTAGTTAAACATGTTTAATTAATATATAGAATCTCGATCGCATATAAAATACATCTCAGTATCATACCACATGTATAAAGTACTTAATTAATTAACGAGTAATATATAATGTATATGGATATTAATTGATCATCATCAGGTAGCTTAATTAATTTGCAGCGAGATGGGACGTCCTAGGTAGGCAATCTTGGATGATCACTTATTCACTTGACTTCTGCGACGGTGAGAATGTCGGCGGCCTTGAATTTCTTCCGTAAGTTCTTGGCCAACTTAAAGGCGTCCACTGTCTCCCCAATCACCACCACTCTGTCTTCTTCCTCTCCCAACGCCACAGAACTCACACCTGCATATTGCATGTATCCATGATCAATCCCATGCCATGTCAATAATAGTATTATTAATCACAATAAATTAAGGAAAACTTTGGATGCGGTTCTTAGCTATGAATATTCTTTGATTGAAACCTTGTTGGTTTTTAATTTTTGATCAAGGTCCCCTGAATCAATGTGATAATATTTCTATGTACGTTACTATATTTTTAAATTAAAAATTAGAAATTTTTAGTTGTTATATAAATGAGATTTTAAATAAAAAACTAATTTGTGGGATTAAAAATATTAAAATATAAATATACTATTGTGTGTGTTTATATATGTATAAACATGGGTACATTCATCAAAATTAACCAAAAAATTATGTATCAAAACATGGGTACATTCTTCAAAATAAAATAAAAAAAAATAAAAGATATTAGGCTTAATAACATAGTAAATTTCTTCGATTAAACTTGACATGGATACATTTAAAATCAAAGAAAAAAGAATGTACCCATATAAGTTTTAAAATGGATTAAAAAAATTGAATAGATTTTATATAAAAAAAAAGGGTAAATTTTACATATAACAAAATAAAGTTTTCATGAAGGGTCATATAATTAGCATGGGTACATTTAGCAATAAAAAGTACAAATAAAAAAAAATATAGGTACATACTAATAAACTTTAAAAAATAGGGCACAAAAATAAATTAATATATGGGTACAAATTAAAACTGAAAAGAAAATTGGTACAAATTAAAAAAGAATTACAAATTAAAACTGGGTACAAACTAAAACTAAAAATATGAAAAATTTAGTCATAAATATAAATATACTAATTGCAACATTTTTAACATTAAATGATTATATTAGAAATAAAAAAATATTTTATTATTGAAATAATAATAAGTTAGTAATACCCAAGGACCTTGATCAAAAAATGAAAAGAAATAGGATTTTAATTAATGGAATAGCAAAAGGAAGGATGAGAACCTAATTTCTCCATAAATTAATATAACCTCAGTTAATTAATTTCACAATTTAATATCCTATGAAACCGGATGTTCTTCAGCTAATTTAGTAAAACCGCATATAATTAATATAATCAGTAAATGAAAGTGATGAGCTGCCGGAGCAAACATAAATACCATCTACTGTAGCAGCAATTTTGAGCGCCTTCGTTTGGCATTTCCGGCAATTCATCGATACCTTCATCACAATCTTCTGCAAAAAACAAAAACAAATCGATTGGGTTATGTAATTGGGGGAGGGAAGGCCGCTGAGATATAATTTATGTATATATATAGCTATAAATGTAATTTATATATTATAGGAAGAAACTCTTCTTTAAATTAAGTGACGGTGATGATTAATCTATAGACCTTCATTTTGCTCGAGTCTTTGCCCAGACTTACACCGATACTCGGCGATCTGCAAGAGCCAAGGCCAAATTTGACAGAGACAATAATATTACGTTCATGCATGTATTTTTATAGCTATAAATTAATAGAATAGATGTCAGCAGTAGTTTGGTGTGAAGATTGGAGAAGATTCTCGTCGGATCCTTTTTTTAGGAATCTCGTGATCTCATCCATTCATTGTACTATCGTCGGTCAAGTTTTCGTTAAGTACTATTTATATTTAATTTTAAATTTTAAATTTTGAAATGATTCTGACCGCACGATGTACAATGACCAGATAGATCACGAAATCTTCAGGATTCCTATGATATTTTCCGTGAAGATTAACTTGTGTTGAAAGAAACTGTTGTGAGTCCAACTCAAAGACTCCAACTCAAAGACTCATTGACGCCGCGTCATGACTTATGACTACCCCACTCCCACTTAGTTTTTTCTGGAAAATTTCCTGCAGTGCAGGTACAACCGCGTCATCGAAAATGAACTTGTATGGTAAGCTAAGCCCTAAGCTTACGTTTGTCGAATTAACTATCTATTTTATATACGCTAGCTAGCTTTGCGACACACTCTAGGCCAATAATGGCTGTTCTTTAGCCTTTTAGCCTTGACAGTCTCACACAAATTAATCAAACTGTTTCAACAAGGCATGCACATACCAGAAATATGCCCGATGGCTGTGCGCTTTGCTATCTCCATATTGCATATATGCTATGCAAGACGACTTGATGGTATGGTTAACAACAATTTTTCTTATTACAATATTTGACTTTTTTCATTCAGCTCCAACCAGCGTATTTATTTTTCAGGGGGGGAAGAACCTATTGATTAGGCTCAACTAAGGTGAAAAAATCGTTATGCTGTGCTTGAGAATAAGATGAAATAAGCACAGAGTGTTTGGTAATTTGTTTGTAGTGCTTTGAAAAACAAAAAAAAGAGATTAAGTTTGTAACTTTTAGTTTGAAGTTTTCAGCTGGTTTGCAGCGCTCTTATTTTCATCCAAAACGGAAAAAGCTGAACTGAGTTTACCAACCAGAAAAAGCCTCACTTTGATAGCATTTTTTTCAGAAACTCATAACAAACAAGTCAAGCAAGTTTCGAACTAGTGGAGACTCAAATATGTATGTTCTCTCAATTGCAGTTAGACGCACGTACAGGTGAGGCGATGAAGACGACGTTCAAAATAAAAAGACAATACCTCATCATTGACGTGGTACAGGATAGAACACTTAATTGAAAACATAATTTTATAACTATATTGTATGGGCTTAAAACCACCACGGTGGCGTTTCGTTTTAATAACATAAAGACATGTTTAAGTTTTTGTTCACATATCATTGTTTTATTGATACGAGATATTACATGATAGTGTACTCGTGTCATGAAAGTTGTATTTTTGAGGTTTGTAATGTTGGAGTTCGAGTCGGAGCCCTCTCAAAGTTGAGTTACTCATTTTAAATTAGAGCTATTCTTAACCCCAGTATCTCATGTCTTCACGCACTTTTTAATAAAATTTTTAATTATAAATTTATCCATTTGTAAAATGATTTATAAAGACCTTGAAAGATATATAAGATAATAAGTTTGGCCCATAAAAGTACTTACATTGGATTGTGCAAGGAATTTTTTAACGAAAAAGTTTGGATGACTTTTCTAATTAACTAGAAAATATGTCTACGCTTTGCTGCGAGAATTGAATGTATTAACCTCAACCGCATGAATAAGACATATTCAACCTAAATAAATTCAACACAATCATGAATGAACACAGGGATAGATGAGTGAATGAAGTTGGTAAGATAAGCAACTTAACTTTTATATACATTCAACTTTGCTGACATGAAAAGACATTGTACAATTAACACAGATGATTTAAGAATCACGTTAACAGCAATTATAGCACATTCGTAGTTACGAAGTTAGCATTTAAGATCATATGCAAGACAACGGTGTAAATTGCTTTTCATAATCAAATTGGCAGCAATCAAAGCACCTTGCAAAATCACATTTAATTTCATTCGTATAGGTCAAAAAACAGAGAAAACATGTATATCAACTTGTCATATTTTATAAAACTAAATGCATGGACAATTCAGTGCACCTTGGTTGCACATTTGTCATGTCCAGCAGCTCAAATCGGCCGCCACCCCCATTATGCGAAAGTGGTCACGGTTAAGTTACGTCAATATTTTATATTCTCATTATTTTTTGTCTTATTATTTTTATAAAAAAATTAATATAAAATGTTGACGTAGCTTAACTGTAACATCCCACATCGCCCAGGGGAGTGATCCTTATATGTATATTCCCATCTCTACCTAGCACGAGGCCTTTTGGGAGCTCACTGGCTTCGAGTTTCATGGGAACTCCGAAGTTAAGCGAGTAGCGCGCGAGAGCATTCCCAGGATGGGTGACCCATCGGGAAGTTCTCGTGTGAGTTCCCAAAAAACAAAAACCGTGAGGGCGTGGTCGGGGCCCAAAGCGGACAATATCGTGCTACGGTGGTGGAGCGGGCCCGGGAAGTGGTCCCCCCCGGGCCGGGATGTGACAATTTGGTATCAGAGCCTAACCCTGGCCGTGGTGTGCCGACGAGGACGTCGGGCCCCTAAGGGGGGTGGATTGTAACATCCCACATCGCCCAGGGGAGTGATCCTTATATGTATATTCCCATCCCTACCTAGCACGAGGCCTTTTGGGAGCTCACTGGCTTCGAGTTCCATGGGAACTCCGAAGTTAAGCGAGTAGCGTGCGAGAGCATTCCCAGGATGGGTGACCCATCGGGAAGTTCTCGTGTGAGTTCCCAAAAACAAAAACCGTGAGGGCGTGGTCGGGGCCCAAAGCGGACAATATCGTTCTAGGTGGTGGAGCGGGCCCGGGAAGTGATCCGCCCCGGGCCGGGATGTGACATTAACTATGATCACAGAAATATCGATGTGGATCAAAACCAAAACAAAACAAACATCGACAACTGCTCGAGTTAGTGTTTGCCCTAATTTTCCTTACTACTAAATAATGCTATTTTCGATATATTTCTTTTGGTGTGTAAACTTGTACTAATTCTCAATAATTTTCAATCACTTCCATTGTAATTAAAATAAGTACTGAGTATATACACACTTATAAGCACACAAAATTCAGTTTTCCATTCTAAAAAAATGAACGAAAACACATACGTCAAGTCAATGTTCCTACTATATTCATTAATCTAACAATGCATCAAATATAAAAAGGGAATTGTTATTAGCACTCCAAAAATCTCATTCTACACTCCAAACTTTCTATATTATACACTTACAAGGAGTGTAGAATGAGATTTTTGAAGTGCCAATAACGCTTCCCATATAAAAATTAAATTATACCTCTAATTTATAACCTTTTGATCTTGCTTAATCTGCAGCTAAACCAAAATTTGGACAGTCCCCAATATAATTCTGTCAAAAACCAGATAGCAACACCATGTAAAAGCCATATTGGGTGTCTACACCCACACTTATCAATTAACACATAAATTTGAAATTTGAATCACTTGGGCTTCAAAAATATTTGCACAAACAAAAATTCGAACGCTGTTCATTTGAACAGCGCATTTGAAAACCTTACTTTAGACTAAAGTAATTACAACTTGTTTTGAAAATTGAAGGCCTTAATTGATCATATTTAAGTGTATAATAAACATCTAGTTTGGTCTGCAGGCTGCAGTGTACACAAACAACGTAGAAAACCTATCTCTGTCATTAGGAGAAGAGTAGTCGATATCAATTGCAGTTTTGAGTTACAGAGCTCCCAAAGCACAAGCAAGAAGAATCATCGGCTTAGCATGCTGGTTGCGCTTCGACCCTTTCAGTTACAAATGGAGACGGCTACAGTGCCATCACCGATGAAAGGGATGTAGGAATGTGAGTATGTTTTCACACGGTTAAGTTATTGTGGATTAACGTAAAGAAGTCTCAATATGTTTATGAGAGCGAATCCTATTTGGTTTTGGATTAGAGCTCTGTTTGGGACATGAGTTTAGTACACATGATTATACAAGGATTTAGTTTCATATTCCTTGTAGGATTGTCATAGGTAGTCCGGAACTTGTAGTATAAAATCACAATCCCTGCTCTCACAAAGGTATCGCTCATATTGTTCCAATAGCCTATAAGTTGGAGAGTATTGTGCTTTGCAGAGAGAAGAAGGTTGTATGCGGATTACATATGGCCTCTACATCCACAAACATGTCTGCAGGTATGCTTCGATCAACATGTTTTGTATCTTATTTGCTTCTTGTTTATGTAGTTCAAGATTTGTGATTTACTTGATCAATCCTTGTGTTCCTGGTGGTTATATTGAATACTTGTTTACTCTTACAAGGGAGACCTGCTGCAGCAGTTCAACTTCTGAAGAACACCAGATTTTGGTAGCCAGTAAGTCGAGCCAGTTTTTCGTATATTTCAGCTGCTACCCAATTCCTTTAGTGATCCTCCCAGTCAAATCCGAAACAAGAGCATACTTGTTGCTCTCATAGCATGCGGTCATAAATGCTGCCAATGTCACGCGATCCACGTTCTGGTCCTTGTCCACTAATTTATGAAAGAACAATGCTGCTATCCCTACTTTCTTCTCACTACAAAGCTTCCTGACCAATGTATTCACTGTGTGGATCCAGAGCTTCTTTTCTAGCCTTTCCAACATAACAATGGCAGCGGCAGAGTCATCTTTCATGCAGTACTTGTACGCTAATGTCAACCTAGAGACTTCACAAGGCGACAGCCCTTTGTCCATCATGGTATCATATAACCTACGAGCCTCTTCCAATTTCTCATCATTGCAAGGCCCGCTCATCAGAGCACCGTAAGTAATACTATCCGGTGCACAACCATGGTCGCCCATCCTTTGGAAATACGTAACAGCTGAAGCAATGTTTCCATCCCGACAATGCTCCCAAATCATGGACGTATAGGTTTCCTCGGTGGGAATCAAGCCAGCCCTCACAGCAAACTCAAAAGTTTCTCACTTTCTTTCATTTTCTTTTGCCTGCAGAAGGCAGCAATCAAAGTTGTATACAAATGTATATCCGACTGCAATCCAACCTTCACTTCTTTCATTTTCTTTTGCC